TCCGAGTCTCCATTAAGGGTCGGGTCGGGTTGAGAAGATCTATCTAGATAATTTTAGATCGGCTTTTGTACGGGTAGACTATCTAGTGATATCTAGGGGAAGGCGGTGTTCGTCGGGCACAGCTTGTTCCGATTGATAATGGATGTGTTTCAGATGGTTATTTGTGCCGTCTTCGTGGGTTTTGGGTCTAGGGTTGACCTGGTCCTGGTCTGGGCTTTCTCTCTGCTACAGGCCGCTCGCTCACCGTCCTGTCGTCGGTATCCAGGATAGCAACTACAAACCGAATACTACGTAGATCTAGAGCAATTCAAAGCAACTCGTGTGTATTGTTGGCAAATCTAGCCAACGGCCATTCTCAAGCAAGCGTCCTTCCTGCGCCATGCTGCCGGATAATAACGCCTCGGCATCAACTCTCCACTATGTGTGTTTGTCACTTATGCTCGTAACTCCCCGCATGCGAAAGACAAGGATTCGGGAACAGGACCAATACGAGTTCGCAAAAGCTAACCGCAAAATCAAGGCAGCACGTGGATCGACCGGCGATGGAGCCAGACGACTGCCGGATATCACAAGGTTTGACGGAAGAAGAAAGTGCAAATGTGAGGTCAAGTATTCGTGGACCAGGCTCATGTCCCTTCCGCGCAGGCCAAGCCTGATCAGTAAGTATATCCAACCATCTATCCAGATGACCAGTGAAAAAGAAATAAGACATGGAAATCGCAAATTGAGATAAAGATATGAAGAGAGCAAAATATGATCAAACCACTGCGGGGGACTAATACTGCTGTTACCATAGCAAAAAAAAAAAAAAATAAACAAAAGCTAAGGTGTAAACCACGAATAGCAAACCAGAAACGAAAGGTAACAACAGCTAAGCCCTATTCACCCACGAGGGCATGTACAAAGCAAAAAGGTTCAAAAATAGTCATAAATCACAACTCCATTATCATGCATCAGGCCATAATCACATGTCGAAATTGTCATCAACGTTGAAGATACCGGGCTCGCCGCCCTCGTGTGTCCTCTGTACCCCACTCATGCGGTGGTTAGCAGTGCTTGCCGGCTGCTGAGGTCGTTGCCAAGTCTCAGTGTCCTCTTCCATGTGGTCACCAGGCTCATTGGTAAAGTGGTGATCCATAGAGCTTTCGTTAACAAAGGTGAAGCCTTTGAAGTTGGCTTGCAGACCGGGAGACAACGGCGTCGACGCCGGCATGAACCCATTGGCGATTGCAGCTGCACGGTCGTTGAGTGAGTTGTTGGTCTCGAGCGCATTCGTGAACTCGGGATCGAAGTTGGACGTGTCAGTGTCGGACTTGAGCGTGGGCTTGAATGGAGGGATCACCTCCTTGCGGCCCAACGCCTGCCAGTCGACGTCGTCGAAGAATGGGTGTGCCATAAGCTCCTTCGCATCGCCCTTGGCACCAAGGCGGTGCTTGGGGTTCCGGTTAAGCAATCCCTTTACGAAGTTCCTTCCCTCCGTGCTAAGAGCATCCCGGGGGAACCGAACTTTGCCGAAGGCGATATTCTTGTACATCTGCTGCGTGTCCTCCGCGTAGAATGGGCTCCAGCCACAGCACATCTCAAACACAAGAACTCCAAGAGACCAGAAATCGACCATCTTGGTATATCCCTGTTCGTCAAGCAATACTTCCGGAGCTAGGTACTCGGTCGTACCACAGAACGTATTCGTCGTGTCGTTTTGGGTCAAGTTGGCCTTGGAGAGACCGAAATCACAGAGCGCGATGTGACCATTCGCATCGAGCAGAATGTTCTCCGGCTTGAGATCCCGGTAGACAATATCGTGATCATGAAGGTGCTGCAGAGCCAGAATGAGCTCAGCAATGTAGAACTTCGCTCTGGCCTCCTGGAATCGCCCTTCCTTCTGAAGATGCCAAAATAGCTCACCACCGGACATGTAGTCTGTGACAAGATAAAGATCGGTGGGTGTTTGGAAGGAGAACTTCAGGCCAACGATGAAAGGTGAAGCCGCCATGGCGGTCCGGACCAAGATATTCCGCTCTCCCAGAGTATGTGCGACCTCCTTCTTCTGGATGATAACCTTCTTCGACAGGACTTTCATTGCGTAGATACGACGCGTGTCCTTCTTCTTGACCTGATAGACCTGGCCAAACGTTCCCTTACCGATGAGCTTGAGGATTTGGAAGTCGTTCGGCCCAACCTGCTTCTTTTCTGTCCTCTCGAAGCGCATCTCCATGTGGATCTCCCCAGACACCTGAGAGTCACCCGCGCCACGAGACTTCAGAGGAAACCACCCTTCTAGCCGGCTGTTGTCGTCCTTCAGGTTAATGCAGAGGCGTACATGACCCAAGAACGCTTCCTGATCCTTGCGATCATACACCGAGACATCTACCTCTGACTGATCGCCAAAGACATCACTAAAATGTGATAATTAGCCACATACTCTTCGTTAACGGGCAAACGGGAGAATGAACGTACAAGACCGCCTCGTGATTCCAATGCGGGTCGGTTACTGGGGCACGTCCCCGGGGCTCACCGTCGAGTGCGCTGTTGTTGCTGCTTTGCCGACTCTTCATGGGTATCGCCATTGGGCGTCCAGCCTCACGGTCCGACTTCTCTTGCTCTTTCTGTTGGCGTTCCAAGGTAGCCGCTTCTTCGTCCTGAGCGCTCTTTGAAATGACCTCATTCCACTCAAAAACGCAGACGACGTAAGGGTCGAACCCAGGTCGGAGCCCTCTGGCTTCGGATATGTTCACGTAGAGCTTGCCCTTCAGCGAGGCTACTGGGGGACCAGTTGGTGAGGGAGTATCTCTTTCCGGGGGAAACGCTTCGTTGAGCTTGCCAGCGATCTCGTCGGCTGCATTCGCCGATTCCTCAGACGGCGGCTGGGCAGGTTCCGACGGATGAGGGGATGAGGTGGGCGGCTTCTTGTCGGTTTGCGAACCTTCGTTGGACATTGCTCGAGGAGTAAGAGGAGGTGTACTCTTTAGACGCACGAGATCCGACACAGTTCCAGTTAGCTTCGCCAGGTTCTCAGAAGACATAGACACATGTGGTTTTTCGTGTTCGAGAAGGGGAGCATCCGGCAAACAGAACGCATCTGAAGCAGGAAGAAGGGAGGGATTGGAGAAATGGGAGGCAAGGACTGGATCGTCAGAGACGCTTGAGACGGGAAGAGAGGTGTGACGGCGGGATGTTTGTTCAGGAGAAGACATGCTTCCGGAGGGGGAAAGGTAATTCTTCAAAGTATTGAATATGGAGCTCATGCCCTTGTCTGGGGCAGAGGAGCCCAGTTCAGCCTCATCCGATTCTTTCTGTAAAAGAGAACAAGCGGAGCTGTAGGGGGGAGTAGGCAAATTCGTAGGGGGCAACGTTTCCGGCTGCAATGTGTGTGTCTCAAGGCTCTGGTCCGGCGAAGCGGTAGAAGACTGGGTATCCGAAGCCTCGGGGCGCTCCATCATAACGAAAGAGCCCGAGGGTGAGGAACCTCGATCCCGTGTCCCTGTGGGGGACGTATCCGACTGGGGGTTTTGCGCGGAAATAGAAGTCTCAGAAGAAGACCGGGTGTTTGAGGAACGGGACTTATCACCAGAGGGAGAACCAACCTGGAAATAACTGGAGTTTATGGAAGGCAGACGTTTGTCCGCTAAATCGGGCTGTGGAGTCGAGATCCCGGTAGGAGTTGGACTGTTGGAGCCGATTTGATCTTGATTGTCGTCTTCTTGCGTACCATTGCTAGTGCCCGAGTCAGTCATGATTCGAACTCCGATTGATGTTAAAAAAAGGCACGACAGCAGCGCCATGGTGGTCGCCATTGTGCTATGTATGGTGGACTAATAACGCAAGACAAAAAGCATGTGGCAAGCGCTTCACAGTATAGCAGGGGTGGGTGCTAGGTATTAAACCTGCCATCGAAAGAGCAATGAAGTGGCAGTTTTCATGCATAGCAATTTTTTTCTCCCTTCAGCCTGTGCAGCATGTAGTCATTGCTTGTCGCGGATGACTTCCGCACGCGACATGATCCATGGGCAGCGCAGCAGAAACCGAGGATGGGAAGCTTGCATGCTAACCATGACAACACATTGAGGGCTGAAGTATGGCAGTCATCCGCCGTTGAGCGAAAACTTCGCACCAAGCTCTTTCATCCTTTTTGACCACACGCTCTCTTGCCACAGCCGGCATACGATGAAATCCAGACCAAAAGCGAGAACGAGGTGAAAGTCGCAATACTGAACTCACCTCCGGGATCTGGGCTGCTTCAATGAGTCCGCATCTCCATGCGGCCCTAGTCCACTCTGAGCAGCAGCCATCTTTATGTTTCCATCCGACACCCAAAATTCACAACTAGGAATACCGAAGGTCGAGTTTGTCGGTCGCGCCGCTGCGATAGGAGTAGTGATGTCAAAATCGACGAGATGACTGAGGACAGGTTGCTGAAGATATGACGTCTTTCAACGACGAGCTGAAATGTGAGAATTTGAAAAACGTGAGTCAAACGCTGTTGGACGTTGACAAGTCAAGGAAGTTTGCGGGAGGATGAATCCGATCGGGTGCGGATAGCGAAGAGAAGGGAGGGGTAGAAAAGCGGGATGCCCTGTTACTGTTGACAAGTTGTTAGGAGAATAGTGTTGACGGAGCCGTGGAAGGGAAAGTGGATAGAGCTGATGGGGTCAACGGCCAAGGATGCAGAGCGATGGATGACATTGAGGGGGAAATGGGAAGGGAAAAAGGCACGGAAGAGAAGCACAAACCTGGAGGGTTTTACTCACAGACAAAACCCAATGAATTCCCGGGGCGAACTTGAAGAAAGCACTTATGGCTTCCAAGAACTCAATCAGTCAGTCTCGGGCAGGCAATTAATGCCCGTCAATGTGGGCGACGGAGCCTTAGCGTCAATCAGGCGCGGACGGACAAATGGCGGGCGGACGCCGGCGGATGGCGGGTTTCGTACCAGATGGCCAGAACTGATAGGAAGAAACACGAAGGAGGATGGGTTTATTCAAAATAAAAAAAAGAAGTAAACCCCGGGATATATCAGTATACGAAGAGAAAAAGGAAGAAGGTTTAGAAGATGAAATTCGGGAATCAACGTTTGACGGTTAATTCAAATTTGAGGTTTGGCGATGAGGTGGCGTTAAAACGAACCAAACCCCCCAATAGTCATAGACATAAGCTGCCGCTGAAGCCGCTGAACGGGTCAGGGACTGCGGATGGGGACCGTTGACTTGTGGTAACTTTCGCGACCGAGATTCCGGGGGACAAGAAAGGAAGTTGGAAGGCAAAAGCGTGTCAAAAAAGGGCTTGAAGCGTGCAGGAGCTGAGTTACAGGACCTGTTGGGTCATCCAAGCACTGGTGAGGGGGGAGGATGGTTGAGGCTAAACCCAAGGAACAAGCGAGGACGAGAAGAGATGATGGTTAGAACCAGCGATGGCTGTGTATGGAACGAAACACGACAAGAATACGATGTGACCTCCTCTTTTCTTCCCGGTACTTTCTCGTGCCAGGACACAGGTCAGAATTGGTGGTGAAGCCCTTTTTCAGGTCTGCTGGAACTTGCTTATACTATAGGATGGGTCTTATGTGATGACCGGTCAAGGTGGTTTGCTTTGATGACTCTTCGAACCGACACTAGCCTGGCACAGCTTCGGAACGCTACTGGTGAAGGAAGTAGCCTAGTCAAGGGTGCATTGTTGTCTCAAGGCGTCCCTTAGAATTGGAGGCAAATGCCACCCATTGGGAAGGGAACGAATCAAAGGGCGGCAGGAGGCGTAGTAAATGGAAAAGGGAAAAGGCCTCAGACGGAGTGGAGATGGCGATGCTGCTGGCAAATAGACGAAGCGCTGTACGGGATGGAACCACTGGTGAAGTCAACCACGAACCACATCGCTTTGGTGGCTGGAGGCACACAGTAACATTTATCTAGCGGTGATGAGGAGGAAAGAGGAGGGGAACTTCTTGGAACGGATGGAGATGCCTTGGTTGAAGAATGATAAGAGAAGAGAACAAGAAAAGAAGATTCCTGGATGATTGATTCACTACCACTACCATCATCTCTCCTTTTTCCTTATTCTTTTTTTTTTTTTTATTCTGCTGGGGGGTCAGGGTGGTTGAAATAATTGCCTTTCCTCCATCTCCTCCTTTTCTCCCCCCCCCCCCTCCTTCAAGAAAAGATAGATATTATTATCCGTCCACAGCAAAAGGATGACAGTCTCCCAAGCCGCCGATGACCGCAGAGGTCCGATGATGTGCCGGTTTGCCTCCCTCTCCTTCTCTCTTGGGCCCTTCTTTGAACAAGGATGGGCTATCCGCCCGGTGGACATGGATGGATGGGTGGGTGGGCTGGGTGGGAACCGGGAATGCTCGAAAGTCAAGAAAACCCGCTGCATAATTCCAACACCAGTCACTGCCATGGAATGGGTCTGTCTGTTCTTTAGGCTTCTCTATCTTTTCCATTGCCAACTGTGCCTAAAAGTAGTAGTATCTTAGTCAATTATTCCTCTGCCTCCCTCCCTCCTTTCCTCTTCTAGCTCTTCTATACTAGTATATACCTTTTCAATATGGAACGGCAAAGTCCGGCCAAATAATCTACTATCTCACTACCGCATTATCACCCAATAATTCCACCTTAAAATGCAATAATAATGACCTGCAGATACTCTTTGCCCATGTAATAGTCGGTAGAAAGCTTATGCTCCTCCACTACTACCACTACCTCAAAATTCCGGCAAGCATGCCAATAACTAACTCCTCTTTTTAGCTAAAACAGATATCGGTTTCCCTTTTTCTCCTTCTCCTCTTTCCTCTCTCCACCATCTCCTCACGCTAAACGCCCCTCCGACAAGAAGGTAAATAATCATCGAAAATGGCTCCGGAGATCATTTTCTCCGCCGCCACCTCCTCACCTCTCATTATTCTTATTCTTATCCTTTTTTTGCGGTTCCCTCGCGGTTGGACTGGAGTGGGGTGGGGTAGTAGTAAGTTGCTGGTCACCGCAACTGTCATCAACTCATCAACAACCATTGAGATATCTCATCACAGCTCACTGACCCTCTCTTGTTTTGTTGATGTCTAAACACAGTACTGTTGTGGTAGTGATTGGTTTCTTTCCTCTTTACTTGACTAGGGTAGGGGCTTTGAGGTACATGTACAGTACCTCGTTAGGACTATGATTCATACCCGCGGAGAGTCTCTGGTGTATCCCATTAACGTATTAACCAAGGTCATTAAAGTAATTCGTAGCCGGTTCGGATCGACTGATTGCCCGATTAGGTATTCGTTGCCTTTCCGCCCGGACCTCGTTTCCTTATGGTGTCAATGACCGTCGAACGGCGAGCTAGCTAAGCTACACTATGAGCGATAACCTGAAATCAAGTGACATCATGTAGTTTTCCAGACCCTCAGATGCCCCGCGCTTCAGATGTGTTAGCGGAACTACGGGTCTCCTCAAATGATACACAGCCCTGCTGAATGCTATGGGAGCTTTGCAGTCTCTCCATAAACACTAAATATCGATTTACATCGGAGGTAGTAGTATGACCGCAGCGGCATCCTCAACCCCTTTGGAATTCTTCCCAGTCTTAGGTAGTCGAAGCGTTGCATTTCTCCTCTTATCTGAGTCAAACTATCGGCCAGACTGTAATCTATACCTCTCACGGTCAAATCAAGGTGTTCCGGACGATGGGAGATCGCGCGCCCCGAGGTTAGCGGCAATCCCGGGCTCGTCACCCCCTTACGTTTGTGCATCACAAGCTCAGGGCAGCTGTACGGCTGGGAGGTGGTAAGTCGCCGATATGGAGTTACACCATGTCCGTGCAGCTGCCAGATCCAGTAGCATTGTAATGCAGTCGCTGCTTAGGTAGGATCGATTATGTTTCAGAATGGCCTGGTTCGACGGTAAAAACAGCCGGCCGTAGTAGACCGGAAAATGGGGATGGGAGGAGGAGGGGAAGTCCTAAGAATGCCAATCACTGCGATGGTGTAACCGACACTGAGCTTCGTCGTGCAGATAGCAAGTTTTGGTAGGAGCAGCCTCTCCTCAGATCGCCACTTTAGGAAATTGATGCCTACCAGAAATCGCAGGAAAAGATATCCAGGGGAACCTTTTGGTGGAGTTCTGCTTTGTCGTCGCACTCGCCCCTCCACGATCCGCCAATAATAAGCTAACTGCCCTAGTCGACTAGGGAGACCGTCGCTGCATCTGAGGCTACTTGGACACGATCAGTAGGTAGGTCACCTGCAGGCTGCTGCGAGGTTGTGTAAGCGATCTGCGGCACGCAGCATCTGGTCACCACAGACGCTCCGAAAACATCCACGGGCCCACGCTCGATTCCGATACCACGGAGGGGACCGTACCGCGATGGCCTCGCAGCACCAGGCTCCAACACGTTGAAGATTATGTGACGCGATGGGGCCTACCCTCCTTCAAGGTGCATAAGGGTGGTCAGAGTTGAGGAATGCGGAGCACAGCAGTCCTGCTCTGCCGCTATTATTGATGGTGGGGGGGTTTTTTTTTGAGGGGTTCCAGAAGCTCCCTCTCCCACCGCCTCTTTTGCGGACATGTGAAGTTGAGGCCGAACAGGTTATCGCTGTCACATACATACGTCAGTGGTCAGGCTGGCGCATACCTTATCGCTGCAGATGATTCATCTGCTGGCTTGGGTCGTGCTGGCAATGGTTCTGTTCAGCTTCCGCCAGGATGCAAGGCTACCGTACCTGTCTAGACCACATAGCTCTTGTGTAGCGAAAGTCAACGGATGACTGACCCTCGGAGGAAATCCCGCATACTGCACTTGCTATTTGCCGTGTAGTAGTAGGGGTTTAGGGGGGTGTATCTACACGGGGAAGCCGATAACTGTTCAGCGGGAAACGGCAACACAAGATGGCTCGCGCGATCACGAATCAGTTCGAAGGAACGAACCGTCGGCGATCAGCGGAAAGGGACCATGACATCATGGTGCAGGAAGCGCCAAACGGACTCCAGCCTCGATGAGGGTCTCCGATTATCTCCATCATTGGTTCGGCACGTGGCTGGAACAACTCTATCTGCCTCAGGCATCAGGGGTATCTTTTCCAATCACGTGATGCTAAACCGGGGACTCGGAGAAACCTAGTCCCGTCTGGCTCTAGCGCGAATGGCTGCGGAAAGGAACATCCCCAAGGGCCTCCATTCAGCTCTGTCGCTCCAGTAAATTCAGGTCGGCGTTCCTTGCCCATCTTACCCATTCACCCGTCGGTATGGCTAGGAAACTTCGTGCGGCTGCTCAAGCAGCTGCGCAATCAATGCGTACGTGAACCTGCTTGGTTTCCACCTCAACCCTATCCTTGGCCGCCGCGGCCTCGGTCGTCACGGACGCGAACAACTAATTACCCAGTAGGGAATGCCGCCCCTCCGCTCCCCGATGCCTCGGACGAGGAGATGATCGAAGCACCCCCATCGCGTGGATCATCGCCAGCGATGGAAGATCCAGGAGATGCTTCGGATAAAGATCCTGAGGCGGAAGCCCAGGCAGAACCCAGCCAGGAGGAAGAGACAGCTGCAACACCCGCCCAGGATTCAAACCCTCCATCGCGCGGCGACACTCCTTCACGCATGGGTGGCCGCATGTCAGCCATCCCGCGAAAGCGCCGCATAGGTCGTCCCCCGAAGAACCGTCCCCCAGACTGGGATGCGCCTGATGACGGCGCCCCTCAGACACCGATCCATACGTCCACGCCGGTCAAGCGCAGGCGTGGTCGTCCTGCTGCTAGTGGTGGAAGGTGGGCACGTAACCGGGGCCCGTCGCATGTTACCCAGGTTCCGATCGACAAGGAGGGGAACATGATGGACGTTATCGACGACGAAGTTGCCCTTCCAGACGACCCGGAGGGCGAGACAAAGGTGGACAAGAACGGCAATCTACTGGGCGATCGAGAATATAGGGTCCGTGTGTTTACGATTCTCAACCGTGGAGATCGCAAATACATGTTGTCTACTGAGCCTGCGCGATGCATTGGTTTCAGGGACTCGTACCTTTTCTTCCAGAAGCACAAACTACTGTATAAAATCATCATCGACGACGAGGCGAAACGCGACCTCATTGAACGGGAAATTATCCCCCACTCTTACAAAGGCCGAGCTATCGGTGTCGTCACCGCTAGGTCTGTCTTCCGCGAATTCGGCGCAAAGATTATTGTTGGTGGAAAGAAGGTCACCGATGATTACCATACACAGGCTGCGAGGGAGCGTGGAGATGTCGAGGGCGAACTTGCCGTCCCTGAAGATAAGCTCCCTCCTCCAGGCGAACCTTACAACAAGAACCAGTACGTAGCCTGGCACGGTGCCAGTAGTGTCTATCACACCAGCGCCCCGTCGGTGCCTTTGCCCACCGGAAAGGCGGTGGATTCGAAGAAGCGCAAGGTCACGGTTACTGGCGATAACTGGATGCTCGAACATGCTCGAGAGGCAAGGTATGTGATGACAAGCCTGTCTGACACTCTAGTGACTAACTTTACATGTAGCAACTTCAACTCGCTCATATCGCTTGCGCGCCGCGAAAACCTTGAAGGACAGTACGACATCCATACAAACGTCATGCAGTATCCCAAGATCATGCAACCGACTCATGCCCGCTGGGAGCGTCTGCCTCCTCCCGACCCTCGAGTTGCAACCAAATTAGCTCAGGGCATGTCCACGTTGAGCCTGACGAACGGCACCGGCGAAGCAGAGCCAGCTGCTGCGGACAAAGAAGCCCAGGAACCCAGCGACAGCCAAACCGAACAACAAACCACCGAGTCTACCCTCTTCTCCTCAGTTCCGGCTGCGCTTTCCCGCCGATTTGCCATTCATGACATCCAGTTCGAATCTTCGCCGTATTCCAACCTGGGCGTTCCCGGCCCAGACGGCGATGTGCACGATCTCGGCTCCAACGGCCTCATCAGTGTCGCAGACTCCGCAAATCCCGAGTTTACGAGCCCCGAAATCCTGGAGGAACTTCCTCCTGAGTGCAAGGAAGCCCTTATCGAGGCGGCTGCGCAAGAGTGGGAATGGAAATCCAAGTGGTGCCACGAAGCGAACGACGGGGCTCGCGCCAAATTACTCAAGAGTTACGCTTGGTTTCCATGATGTGCATGCTTTCTTATCCTATTTTCCCTCTTAGTACCCCCTTTCGAGCCACTGGAGGGACTTTTAACCAAGGTCGTTCACTACCTATTATACCACTTCCCTCGCAGTGGCTTTACCATTCTTCTTTGCTTCGGGGGCTCACGTATACCTAACTAACCAACTGATTATTTCCATTTCACTTCGGCAAACACACACTCAAATGGGCGGGGGTTTCATTCCGGATGGGTTGCGAGAATCATTTACCAAAAAACAGGGAGTTTGAGCGTTTCAATATCTGGAGTGTCGTTATAAGTGGTTACTTCTTTATTACTTTCTTATTTCTATTCTTTACCTCATATCTTATTTCTAGCTTTTGCCGTATATTCTCTTTTATCTCCAAATCTTATCCTCATTGCCATGAGCATATAATTTCAGTTTAGTCTAGACGGATGGGAAGTAAAGGTATAATATAATCAAATAAGAGAATGGTATTTCGATCACTACTAACCTCAGTAGTATCTTGATCGTAAATAATATTTAAGGTTCAATCATCCTCTAGTGATTATCCTCGCAAGACCCCAGGTACCTGTGTAATCGGGTTCCGCTAGGCTTCCATTGTTCTACCTTAGGTTCAGTAGTGGCAGTGGCAGTGGTAGTGTGTATGAATATGGTGGATGCCTATAGTATTCAGGGAATTTGTCTGTCTATAAGGCTACTACTATTTCGTCTGGATTCATGATAATATGAATGGATGGGTTCTAGGCAGCATGATTACTATGAGTAGTAGTAGTAGTAGTAGACAAGGCTGCAGGAGTACATGTGTACGTAATACATTCGAACGAGGTAGAGATACAATTGATGTATTCGTGTATACTGTGTATTAAGGATCAGCTACACAATTCAAACTCTACTAGCCAATGTACTCGACAACAAGAGAGTAAGTAGACAATGATTCATTCCATCATGCAAGGATTCAAGTAATAGAAAGTAACTAACTCCAAGGCCGCAAATAACGCAATCAATCAAAACGGTTGAGGCAGCACATGTTCTTTGACACATATGATTAAAAGAGCAGGAAAAATGAAAGAAACCCGAGTCTGTAGGAATTGGAGGAAAACAAAATAGCTAGTTGGCCAGTTATCCCATGGCCATTTCCGCACGTAGCTTCTCCAGTTCTGCTTCCTCGTCTTCCTCTTCGGTCTGAGGTTTGGATTTGACTGTTGCATGTACGTTTAGAAGAGTTTCATAGTAAAGAGGGAGGGACAGTGGCTTACTTTCTCCATTTGCCGCAGGAGGTAAACGGTTGAGCTGGTCTGCAACCGGCACCGTACCTGTGTTGAGCATCCGCTCGTCCATGGCCTCCTGCTCCAAGCCCTCGAGTTCCTCTTCCAAATCGGCCTCGTCTGGTTGATCGACCAGATTGGTGCTTGTAATGGCTTGTGCGATTTCGGTGCTGAGTTGGTGCTGTTCGCGAAGTGTATCCCTAGACCATAGTCAGTTGCCGTGTTCCCATCACTCAGATGATACCGTAACGAAACAACATACATTGTCTGATCCACCGTATCAAGCGTCATGGAGCCATGGATCTTCGCCATCGCCGCACCAGCCGCCTCCATAGCCTTCAAAGTCTCCTGGTTGATATTCGCCGCCTCAATCGAGTAGATCTGCTGTTCTAGCTGAACGATCTGCGCCGTCGTCTGTTCGAGGTTCTTTTCATGAACCTTCTTCCGTCGAAGGGCGTTCTTAGCCGCTATACAGATCAATAACCCGTTAGACTTCATTTGTTGTTGCCTAGTTGCTGTTTTTCTGCTGTCACCTACCGGCCTTGTTTGACGTTACGTTCTTCCGAGCAATTGCATCCTGCTCCTCCATCAGATTCTCCAAATGCTTCTCGCGCTTTTGGAGCATATCCAGCTGCTCGCGAAGCATGAGGATCGCATTCTTGGGCGCATCTTTCCGCTTCTGAGCGGCGGATCCGCCGAACCAAGACCACATGTTGATAAGGGTGTATGGGGTTTGATTAGGCTGTGATAGAGAGGGGTTGCTATTGCGGTGATCGAGGTTATGCTAGGGACGGGTGATCCGACGTCCGATGGGGGAAGTTGTTGGTGTTGAGTCGGGAAGAAGTGTAACGACGGGTCTGGAATCGGTGGAAGGTGGGATGGGAAGAGATGATGGTCCGTGGCAACGGGGCGGGATCGGTGAGAGATCGCTGGACGGTGTTTATCCTGGTGATGGGTGCGGGAGGCGATCAGCTCCGAGTCACCTAGACCAGGTCGAGCAAGGCAGCGGTCCTTGATTAGCGCCAGGAAAAGAGGGAGAGTGATAAGAAAGTTCGAGACGAGAGAAGAGCGAGCAGAGATGGAGGAGATCCCCGGCCGGATTCAAGTTGGTTTTCCCCTCGTTGGCCCTATGACATACGCGCTAAGCCTATCGGAGTGGTATGGTCACGTGCCTTGGGGTCACGCCGGTCATCGTATTTCACTGGTATTATTTATTGATTGCCTTGTGATCGATCATTGCGGCCCTCGAGATCATTCGTCAATATAATGGCCTCCTTATGAAGATATCTGACTTGCTGGAATGAACGCACCTCTTCCTTCTACGCGGGCGTTCCTCTCCGATCTACCTTCTCATCCAGTTAGCTCGAAGGTTCGATTTCTCGGTTGGTGCGTGGAGTTCCTTGTCTGTCTATGTGTGTATCTTACGATTTTACATGCTGCATACCGTAGACTATCTAGAAATGCTTCTTCACTTGTTCGGGAATATAGTAGTAAAGAGACTGATTTTCTCAGTGTGAGGACATACAACATCCAAACGGGGCACCTCATCCTCGAACACAACTATCCGCGTCAGAAACCACCGCTGGAACCACCCTCTGTTGCAGTTGATATCAACGCGGTGCTGGAGACAGTCACGTCAGAAGAGCTGTCCGTTGGCGCATGGGTGAACGTGCTTGGATATGTAAGGAGGAACAGGAGAAGTGATGATGATGATGATGATTCTGCCGTCCCGGATTCGAGTCCAAACCCAGTGTATGTGGAAGCCGTGATGCTTTTCCCGGCAGGCGCCGTGGCGTTGGGAGAGTATGAGCGAATCCTGCAGGAAGCGTTGAGCGTGGAGAGGAGGATGCGGAGGACAGGCTGATAAAATATCTTATTGATTAATGACTAGTAGCAATTATACAACTTTTTTTTATGTGCTAAACTATAGTCCCGAGATCTTCAATTCCTTACTTCGTGACTATCTTTAGGCATATGTATATATCCAGTCTGTATTGAACAACTGGGCCATTATTATTAGTAATTGTAAGAATATAGAAGTTAAACTAATATCTTTCAAAGAATAATATAAATTAAACAATGTGGGGTTTTCCGGACCGTCACTAAGAATTCGAATACGAACTATAATAAACTTACTATATAATAAAGACAAAGATCGTCTATATCTAGTGAACCACAGAATAGACTGATTCTTGAAGGATCAGTGATCTATTAATAATAATCCTTATTTTATATCTGTTATAAAGAACTAGAACAGCTATTAACAATTATTCCATGATTTTATTAATTGCATACATGTTGACCCACCTCTGGGGGTATGTCGGTGACACCGGCCATCTGGTTAGAGGGGAGTTCTTCATAATTCTTTCTGCGTATTCCCATGAGCCTGATAAGATATAGTAGAGCATACTTGCGGTGCTGGCCTGCGTCGAGGGTGAAGTTGTAATAACCATTCTCGTTACACTGCGTCGGCACTAAGGTGAGATCGTTTGCTCCTTGGTTCTTGAGACGCAATGAGGTTAAACCATCAAGGGCAATCTCCGCGCGGATTTTCCCATTTCACTCACTAATGGAACACTTTAGAGTCGGTCTTGTCAACGAGTCATCTTCCTTGTTGAGCCTTTCGGCCATCTCGTTCAGCAGTCCTTGCCAGTCTGCAAGGGTAGTAGAAACTCGCATCCTGCACTCCGGGGCGATATGCTTAATACCGTATCTATAACTTTCTTCCAGTTTCTTGACATGCGTTGGATCTGATTCGCGGTTCGGATAGGGGCTTTCCCAGGACTCGTCGAGTTCCCGGACATCGAGTAAGACTGTGCCCAAAAATGCTCTTTGTAGGTTGTTCTTCATTTCGTCATTAAGGATTTGAGCACTTTGCTCCTCTTCCTTATCCTCATCCTTTAGACAGGGACTAAATAAATAAACTCTGTTAATTAAGGGGTTTATCTGCTAACACATTCCCTTTCATAGTGACGAATGTGCGTTTAGCCGGCAGTTTGATTATAGCAAGCTGACTGTCTCAGAGAGAGATGATAATGTGGTTTCCGTGAGTTTCGGATGATTATCTGGGCAAGACTTTAACCTTGGCCGGTCAAACCAAAGGGCCACGGGCGATGCTGGCTGGCCGGCTCGAGTTATCAGCCAAATGTCTAGGAATAAGCTAATGAGAGAACCACAAATTGAAGAAAAGGTGTATTGAAAGACTAAATTGCTAGATATATACCCAGTTTACCCGGACAAATATTTCCTTCGAGTGAAAAGTCAGGCTTCCAATCCAAACTCCTACTGTGCAAGGATGCTTTTCTGTGCAAGGACTCATGTATTCCTGCACTTATTGTCGATTATTCACTGTTACCAGGTTCAACCATACACCTTCTTATACCTCCATCGTCTCCTCCTCCGTCTTCTCGAGATTTGGCACCTGCTGTGTTTGGCGTTGGCGCTTTCCCGCCAATCGCTGCTTATCCTCCTGCATCCGCCGGATGAGCACGCTCTTCTCCCTGATTTTGTACCCATACTTGTAGAAAATGAATGGGATCGGAACGATAGCCACCTCGAGCAAGCCCAAAAGCGTCCCAGACCAATTGGGACCAATACCGGCATACATATACGTTCCAACAAGGGGTAAGACACCACCTAGGATACTGCGGATCACCGAATTCCCTGCCAGCGCGGACGCTGCATACACCCCGTAACTACCAGCCAGGTAGTTGGTCGCGTAGATGAAGACGCCCGTGTTGCCTGTACCGAAGAGTACACCGGCGAGAATCGGTACAATCCAGGGTATCGAGGCGGGCGAACAGGTCCAGGCGAACCACAATTCTCCAGCTGGAATCAGGAGCGCGCAGATACATACGAAAGCCACCATTGCCTCCGGGGGTGGCTTTCCCGTTTCGGGGTCCGGTTTATGGCTATTGATCAGACGGCGGATCAAAGGTTCGCTGGAGATGGTGATCACACATCCAGTTCCGATACCCAGGAATGCGAGACCGGAGAGACCAAGTGACCAACCCCGAATATCCCGAAAAACGATAGGGTAGGCTGTGAAGCACAGGTAGAGGATGCCATACACGATGGCAATGTAGATATTCCAAAATATACTATATGAACAAGTGCATTAGCTTTTGGGGTGACAGCATGAGTACTGGTTCGGAAAGACTGACCAAATAGGTTCAGTGACTGCCATGACAAACGGACGGCCGAGGTTTATCTTGAGTAGTTCACTCAGACTAGCCTTCTGTTCGTATCGACACCACCATCGTGAATCGCCCGTTTCTTTCCGCATGCGGGCGGCTTTCTTTTGTAGGATTATGGGGCCATAGGTCTCCTTCATGATACATGAAAGGACCAATGCGACCCCAGACAATATTAGAGCGATCCAATCCATCCACCGCCAGCCCAGGTACTGGGTGACGAAGCCTCCGATAATAGGCCCGAGAACTAGGGCATGGTTAGTTCCAGGTATAAGTTGTGACTGGGAGATGGCTATGCTTACCTGGGCCATTCACGGGCCCAAGACTCCAGACCGACATGGCCAGCGCGCGCTGGTCATCTTCGACTATGTCCGCAACCATTCCCGGCGCAGTGGAGATCATTACACTTCCGAACAAAGCTGCGATGAAGCGCACAACCAGCAGGGTAGCAAGGTTTTTGGCGAGCGCGCAAGGTATGATCAAAACCGTGAAGATGAACAAGCAGGCTATGCAGACCGGCTTCCGGCCGTACAATTCGCTCAATGGCGCCATAAACATGGATCCCACAGCCAGACCGATGAGGTACAAAGTCAATCCCAACGTAACGATGGTGGTGGAAGTCCCGAATTCAGCTGCAATCTGCGACTCTCCCGAGGTGTACGATGTTGAATATAATACGCTGGAAGGGATTAGCGTCGTTATCGCATGATGCGTATCTAGGCGATGCGACAGACTCACATAATCAAAGTGTTGTATGATAGGATGGCGATTCCCATAGCTTTGTAGGGGAACGACCAGTTCTTCGGATTATTTGTGTCGAACTCATCGTCCCAGTCGACTTCATAGTTCGGGTCAGAGGTACCAGTCGTCCCTATAGATGTGACTCTCTGGGCTAGAGAGGGTACCGAGGCCCGAGAGGCGCGCGTAGGGATATGCGCCAGGGCATCCACTTGACCAACTGTGTCCTCGGACGAGCCTGATACTGCGTAGGATTGCGCATATGTAGAGGTAGGCCCCTCTTTGCTATCCCTGGGGCCTGCCGGGGGATCTGATGAAGAATTCTTTGGGGAGGACATGCTTTTCGTGGCGTCTATTAGAAGTCGGTCCGTGACCCAGAGGTGGAAGAGCTCTCCACAGCTGGACCGAGTACAGTCGTTTCAGCCGATATAGACCTCCTAATCTTATTATATGGCTGTGGTGGAGGAGCAATGTGAGGGAAGAAATAAGATAGAGCGCGCTGGAATGCGCTGCAGCTTCTATATAATAAATCGACAAACTGGCCCTTGGACCTTGCGCTCGTGCTCTCGAAACCAGTAAGAGAAGGTATAAGAACTAGTAATCAATGCGACAGGATACCAAGCAGAGAATTGTTCCCAAAATAATCAACACTGAGCGATTTCAAATTGTAGCGCAGCAGACATGGAAAGCAACGAAATGAGCACAAATGCTGGGAATGGAAGATGGCAATTTTTTGGGAGTGATTGACGTTGGGAGTTGCAAGATAAAGCTTAGCGGAAATTAAAATCTGAAACGCACGCGATAATTATGAGCAACTAAAACTAATGAGTCAGTGACATTTGGGGGGAAAAGAGAGAGCGAGAGAGCGAGAACGAGGCAGAGGAAAGACACTCCAAGTGGGGGCGTCGGACGAGAACAGTCGGCAGGAGTGCGACTGATAAGCCCTCGGTTTTCCTCCACCGGATCTTGTTCGACTCTTGCCAAGGAACAGAGAAGAGACAGGTGCTGATGGACATTGCACGAGAACTAAAGTTGATACGTTCACCGCTAGGCACTCAACTAACAGTCATCTGCGTCTTCCACGTTGAGTTGCCAGATCCGCTGCCTAGACGGGGGTGCTGGGGTGTTCCCTAACCGATGATCCGGATACAGTAAAATAGACAGGACATGAAGCCCCTTCTAGCATTTGAATATGGGAATCCATGGTTAGGCGCGGCTGCTGATCCCTATTATTGATCAGTTCAGGGAGGTCGCATGCGCAGTCAGTGAGTCAAAACCCTTCTTAGTCCTTACTATACAATATACCTAGTGGTGCTTTGGGGAAGGGGAAATGCCTCAGTGACTGACTTTTCTTCCAGCACCGACTGGCATGGCGTTACGGTGTAGCAAAAAGATTTCTGAATCAAATCGCGCTACGGCATACGAGGCCCGCCCAATCGCTCTTAGTTCGTACCTAGAGCTGGCTATTCGTCACCTACAGAGTGTGATCTGCATAAGACTCAGTGCGATGCGGAATCATGGACATGCATCGCCATTTACAACAAATGTTTCTCTGCATGGATACCTGTCGTGACTATGGCAGTCACTAGCAGACCCTGCTTCGCCAGACTGATCTACCTACCCCAGGAATCCCTAATTTGCTCCAGATGGGGAGAAAACTGGAGATAAGTCCTGGACGTCACCACCGCATGAATAAGCATCCCCACCGCGGTGGATTTTTTGGCGAAAACGGCGGATGCACAATCGCAAACGAAGCCCAGTCCCCACCACCATGTCGGAAGACGATACTAACTCTGAACGCAGCCAGCTCCACACCAAAGAGGAGAAAGCATTTGCGTCTTTCTTACCCTGAGGGTACCAGTCCACTAGCTAATGTCAAGCACAGGGCGGGGAGGTGTCGAGGCTAAAACGGGGTTGATGCTTGCCCATGGCCCAGTCACAGTCCAGGGCTCGGTTCCGAGTGCCGCCCGTGCCGGTTTGCCGATGGAACTTTGGCAACAACGAGGACGATCCTGTGGGAAACTCTGTTTTGCGATCCAGAACCTCTGCGCCCTTCTTTTTAGGTATCCATGCTGATGCTGGCGGCCACTCCACCACCCAACGGCCCGTCTTCCGAGCGGATGTTGGAGGTTCAGATATGATAGGTAACCATGCCGTCATCTACACTCATCTACTGAGACAAATGATTTGTCTCTTCATTGCTGGCAATTCTGCAGTTCGTGCGCGAGCCTGAAGAGGTGAGTCAATGAGTGCCAAGACCTGACCCATACCACACTTTTGAGGAATGTGAGCATCCGTCAGAAGCATGCTACCGAGAAAGTCATGGATGGTGTCCTGTGTATGTCTTGGTGGAGCTTAGGACCCAGACTATTTTGGGATTCAATTTGCAAGTATTTGAATCCTGGCCCAAGACAAAAAACGGAGTCGTTGCACAGGCCATGCAAGCGATGGTATGCTAGGGTGGCCATAGCTCAAAGGCACGAGGACTACCAACGACAATTAATCTTATATGGATGTCAATGCCATCGAAGGCTGGAGTGGCGACTAAAGAGCTACTTACCAAGAACAACTTAGCTACTCCTGTGTAGAATAATATGCTTTCACCCTTAATCCCTTAGTTAACTGACTAGCTTCATTGTATGTTTGCTAGCTGATAGTCCTCTGCAGGCGATAAGAGTAACAGCAATATAGCTCTTATCGTAATCCCTTTGTACGCGACTCCCAAATCATCTATCTCTATCTCGGCCATATCGTAGAGGAAGAGAGGCAAACCCTCGGAATTGCGGAGATAAGCCCGACCCACTCCTCGGAAAGAAGACCGAAATGGCTGTTGAATCTTCTTCTGCCAGGGAATAACCACAATCGCGAAGTAGTGAACGCTGCGATAGATTTTCTATATGATAACCTCAAGTGTAGTCCATGATACAAAGAATGTACTATATCTCGGTTCTGGTTGAATTGTGCCCAGCATCGGCACACTAGTTGTTATGAATTGGGTGCTTACGGATACCTGCAGCACGCATCGTCCAATAGAAGAAGGTGTACGGAGTACTCCTGGCTGTCTACTAGGAGTATATGGCAGTTGAGATTGGTATATACACCTGCCTTCTGAATCTCAATAATTGAACCATTCGGACATCAATAAATTCCCGGTCACGTTGTCCTGTGGAATAAGGCTCCTAAAACCCCTGACCGCGCCAACCAAATTTCCGAAGGTGTCACAATGAAACGGAGTCGGACCATTTTGCTTGCTTTTGCCCCGACGCCCGCACGTGGAGGGCACCTTCTGCTAATGCAACTCGGAATCAAGGGATGCATCAAATTCGAACGAACCGTTTTATGCTTTAGTGGCTGGTTGACATAAAGAAACTCTCTTCTTGATAGGTTCCTTACCCCTTAAACGAACTTGGTACACCTGGCCAGTGACCGAATGATATGTGGGCCTCACTCGTCTAACCGAACGGTCCAATCCGAACTATTAATCTCCGTTCGCTTGGATTTCTGGAACCCATGGATGGTGGCTTTTAAGGCTTAGCCACGCGAGATTGTAAGTTAGTGATGAGATTTATGGTTAAGCAATACTTTTGTCCTGGAAATACTAGATTGATTCTCAATCATCTTCTCTCTTGCGATAGAATTGCTCCCTTGTACATTGGCAAAGGGATTGATTGATCTACAGAGTGAAAGCGCCAACTTCGCTTCAACGAGCAAGATCTGACTGTCCTTTATCCTGCTGTCTGCATCGTGTACCCCTTTTACTACACGTTTCAGCCTAGGACTGCCATTCCGACATGTTTTCAGAGATCGCCGTTGCCTCCGGACTAGCCGTCCTCTATCTCTACCACGTTAACCGTGGTATGACTGGCACTCCGGAGGAAGTAAGCCGGCTGTCTCCTCATCGTTGGACTGTTGATGAAATCAAAGCAGCATACGAGGATGCCATTCAAAATCCAGTCGACGTGCAGAAGAGTCTTCCACCAAAGCAAAACCGGCGGTATATCGTGGTCGGCGGGTCAGGTGCGTTCTAGCTATAAACAGCATTCGCGTGACGTGGCTCAATGAGCCTATCTTATGCGATTCTCCATATCTTACAGTTTCCAAGCTAACAACAATCCAGGATTCGTGGGAAGTTGGATGGTAAACCATCTGCTCGCTCGCGGGGAAGACCCGTCGGCTATCCGCATTTTGGACCTTGCAGCGCCTCGTCGCGAGATCCTCGACCAGGGTGTCGGTTTCTTCAAGACGAATATTGCCGACGAGAAAGCTGTGGCCACTGCCTTTGCCCAACGTTGGCCTGAAGCTGTCGCTGACCAGCCCCTGACTGTCTTCCATAATGCCGCCGTGATCAGGCCTGGAGAGCGCCTCAAGACTTTCCTTCCCCGTTGCACCAACGTCAACTTGGGCGGCACAGTGAACGTGCTGACTGCCGCAAAGAAAGCCGGCGCAAGCTGCTTTATCTCGACATCCTCAGGATCGGTCAGTCTCCGCAGTCAATCCTTCTGGATCGCACCCTGGAACAAGGCCCCCAAAGGTCATGTTCAGGTAGTCGATGACTCGACCCCAGTCCCTGAAGAACACTACGACTTCTTCAGCAACTATGCCGCCTCCAAATCCAAGGCCGAGAAGATCGTCCGCGCCGCCGACGATCTTGAAGGAAACTTCCGTACAGGCTGCATCCGGCCAGCGAATGGTATCTACGGGATCGGCGACACGGAAGGTTCTCTCACCACTTCATATCTAAGATCCGGCGGTTCCCCTTCGTAAGACAACCCTTGACGAACCTTACAGATAGATCAAAAACTAACGCCAACTCCTCTAGCTGGCTCTCCGACACCATGCAGAACTTCGTCAACGCCGAGAACGTCTCCATCGCCCATCTTCTCTATGAACAACGCCTCATCGAGCACACTAACAGCCCATCCACACTTCCCAATATCGGTGGCCAATCCTTCCTAGTCACAGATCCCAACCCTGCCCCGACCTACGGCGACGTCTATCTTCTCCTTCACACCCTCTCCAAAACTCCCGCCAACTTCCCTCGCGTACCACCGGTTCCTTTCCTCATCCTGTCCTACCTCCTCGAGTGGTACTCCTTCCTGCAGTTCATTTACTTCCCCTGGCTCCCTAGGATCACCGGAGAAATCTCCAAGATGCAGCCTGCTCTCTTCTCCATCACCAATGTGCATTACATCGCGGATGATTCGCGCGCGCGCAAGTCGCCGGAACAGGGCGGGCTGGGATACGCCCCTCCAATCACGACGATGTATGGCATGTGCAAGCACCTCCAAGTTTGGAATCGCGAGGCGGACCAGAAGAAGATTGCGGAGGTCGCAGCCAAGGGCGTTGTTAAATGTGAATGAGGATGGTGTGGATGTGAACTTGGTGGTTCCTCCTAAGAAGTTGTAGTTGATGTCAAATTGACTTGATGCCTGTTTTGTGGGTATTTCGGCAAATTGTATTATTATTGAGGGAAATGACTATTACTTTAGTTCCTTACTGTTGAGCAATCATACTAAAATGTAACGACTCATATCATATTCATCCTAATCAACCAAATAAAGAAAATTGAGTATAACTAAACGAAACCCACCCCCACCATCCCAACAGATAATACCCCACACACTCACAACCTTGACAAGAACGTCACCTCCCCAGGAGCATGATACTCCGGAACCTTCATATCCAGCGCCTTACCAGAGTATCCCAGATCCTCGGCCGTCAAGACGGCGCATTTCTCTCCGATAAGCAGGGCGGTCTACACACCCCATACATATTAGCATCCATCCATACACCAACACCACAAACCACAATACCGAATATCACAAGGGATTGAATGTAGAAAGGAAAGGGGATAAACATACACTATAAGTATTACACCCCACGTTGTCAGGACAAATCGACAAATCAGCCACCTTCAGCCCTTGCACACCGTGCACATTGAGCCGCTCATCGACGACTCCGCCGTGCGGCGTAAGGTTGTTGCCTTCGCGGGGGGCCATGCTGCATGTTCCCAGGGAGTGCCAGGTTGTTTCGACGTGGCGTTGGACTATATTTTTTTATCATTCGTTAGTAATCAGTTGTTGTTTTGAGGCAATTTGGAAGGTTAGGTGGGAAGGGGGGAGATACGCACCCCACTTTTCGATATGTTCAATATCCTTCTTACTATACTTGATCTCCTCCCTTGTATCCTGCTTATTAGAGTTGAGCATTGTAGGCGATGCGGGTGAAATGCCGGGTTCGAGGGGCTGGGACCAGGAGCCTTTATTCCAGACAGACACATGTGTCAGTAAGTGGACTAGCCCACCTCTATAGATCCAGGGAAAAAAAAGAAGGGGGACGTACCATGTTGGATACCAGCCGAGATGTGGTTCGGCCCCGCATACGCCTTCGTAGTCTCTAGATCTAAATCGAATGCTCGCGCGGGCGAGTCATACGAAAAGTGAGGGTGCATGCCTGTCACTTCGCCTGCGTAAGCGCCCATGCGCCGGGCGGTCTCGCGCGATTTGATGTATCCCCAAACCATGGGGGCCATGTCGCGCTTGTCGTTCATGAAGCCGGCGTCGAAGTCGGGGCTTTCGTAGGGGTCGGCGGATTGGATGTGTGTGGAGCCGCGGGAGAAGGGGTATTCCTGTTGATCAATGAGTGAGTCTATGATCGGTGGTGGGGATATGGAAGGAGGGAGTGAAGGTGGGAAGATACTCACGAGGAAGTGGAACATGGTGAAGAACTTGCCCGGGGGCATGAGCATGTGGTCGCCGAACCAGCTGTAGGACATTAATTAGTATTTACCATCTAAGAGCATTGAGGGACTGGTACCTACCCAGCAATAACAGAGTAATGCATCACCGGCTTATCCGGCTTATTCTTGAAGTAACTCTCCCAGCCCCTATAAAAGTCATTCGTGGGCCAGCTCTTCATCTCCTCTAGTTCCTTTGCATTCGGCCGGATCTTCACGCCGGCTTCGATGCCGTTCGTCGCTAGAGGTCCCGTGCCCTTGATATTCCATTCCTCGAAGACCTTCTTCTGCACTTCGGGGTCTCCGCGGACGAAGTCATCAAAGGACTCGACTTCTGGCTTCGCCCGGAAGACGGAGAACGTCAGGTAGTGGTCCTGGAAATTCCGTCCCACGCCGGGGAGGTTCACGAGGGGCTGCACGCCTGCGCGACGGAGCTTCTCGGGGTCACCGACGCCTGATCGCTGGAGGATGAGAGGGGAGCTGAGGGTGCCGCCGCTGACGATGATCTGCTTGCGGGCTCTGAAGATGGTCCGCGGGGGATCGCGGCCTGCGAGGGGCTTGGTGGGAACGGTGGCCACGCCAACGGCGCGGCCGTTCTCAATGATCACTTTGTCTACTTTGGTGTTGCACTTGAGGTGCAGGTTGGAGTACTTGGCTCGGGTGCTGTGGACGTAGGCGTGGGCGGAGTCGCTGCGGCGGCCTGAACATGTCTTGTCAGTCTTAATATATCTATGAGGTGTGAAGCATGCTCGCATACCGGTGTCGCGGTTGATCCATTTCAACCAGTGTTCGGCTCCGTGGCTGCACATATTGTCAGCAGGAAGTGAAAGACATGTACATTGGAAGTACTGTGACTTACCCAGTCTTCAGATCCTGAAGATCATCTGTGACAGGAATGTCCTGCGACTCTGCAGCACGCAAAAAGTCTTGCATGATAGGGTACGTGTAGTTCCCGAACGAGACCTTGATGGGTCCATCAAAGCCATGAATGTCCCGGTTGTTGCAGGCCCGCTGGTATGTCTCGTGCTTCTTCATCAAGGGAAGCAGCTCGTCTGTTGTCCAACCCTTGGCCTGGAAGTCGTCGTAGTCGGAGGCAGAGGCTCGGGTGTACATCTACTTCAGTGTTAGGATGTGTCTCACTGTTGCTAGATATGGGTTGATCAAGCACAGCTCACCATGAAGTTGATGGAACTGCCCCCTCCGAGGACATGGGCACATGGTACAATAGCCCGACGACCATCAAGCCATTCCGAGGGCCGGGAGTAGTAGAAGGAAGCTGTCTTTGAGTCAAGCTTCATGTTGCGGGGATAGATGCCGGGGCGGTAGACCCTACGGCATGGTTAGGGTAGCTCTGGGGAGTAAGTGTGATAGTGTCCAGCCTACCATGGGTTGTTCAGGTTGTCCTCGCCTGCTTCAATCAGCAGAACCTGGAGGTTATGGTCTAAGTTGGCAAGTCGACCGGCGATTACGCAGCCGGTGCTGCCACCACCGCAGACAATGATGTCCACTTCATCTGGGATGGTCATGATGGGTATGATTGACTACGCGTGGATCGTAGAAACTGTGATTGGGAATGCGTGTGATTTACTGAAAACAACAGGAAATAACCGGGAATTGGGATTCCAGAGGTCGGTTTATATGCTCCCAACACTGCAAGACCATGATGCAGCACCTCCTCATCATGGCAGGCAGTTCTACGAACGAAGAGGAACATCCCCGCACCATATGTAGAACCCCTCTTGCATACGAGTCCTGACAAGGATGTCGACCAGCTTTGGACCGTCCAGGTCATACAAGGAACAAAAAGAGCCGCGAAGAGACTATGGTACACGGTATACAGCCTTCATTCTCTGATGTTGGAGTACAAAAGTACAATTTGTTTCCCGCAGATTCCCCGCACGGCGAGAGGGGGTCGTGCATAGTGCATGCAGTGAGTTGTCTGAGATATATCGATATAAAAGGTGGATTAATCTAATTACAGGATTGATATACGGGAGCCTGTGCCAATGGTGCAGCTTGGCTCCTGTCAGTAATGGACGACTGGATTGAGTTTGCGACGGCAAAGAGCAGATCTTGACAGCGAGAAAGCCAAGCAGAATACCAATCGGGCAGGAGATGGTCTCGCCAGCCAGCGACAACTTCAGACTTGAAGCTCAGCGACAGCCCAAGCGTACCTTGTACAGGTCAGCTGGGAGCTTGCAGGCCATCCTCCAATGGTTATACTTGCGGCGGACTGGGATAGAGAGACGAATCCGGCGCCAGGCCAAACGCATCACCAATCACCAAGGCGGATTGACCGGATAGCCACGGACGGAAAAATTGTTCCTTATCATCCTCATTCCCAGGCAATAATTGCTTGTATTAAGCGGAGTCGCTTTTGTTGGCAACAGAGCTGAGGCAGTGGTGACGGCGTGTGAATGGCCTCGATCTTGCCGTGGTGCGGGGAATGGCAAATGCTGAGCTTTCCCCGCCTGCGGGCATCGCCACCAACTTTGGTCCTCACGCCAATGATTATCCCTGTTAATATTAACCATGGTCTTATATGGGTCGAATGCAGCTTCGTCTTTGTCGTGTTCAACTTTGGTCAGGCCCAATAACAACCGCGGAAGCTGCATTTTAAGGCCCCAAGGAGCTGGGTAACTCGCCGATTACCAAAGCGGCTTCTCTACCAAGCAATGCCCTCCTTTCACCCGGCCAACAGTGCGACTCCATACACCTTGGCCGAGCGAGTGCCCGTCCTAGAAATTGTGGGTTGACGGAGAAAACCCGTTACTGCTGCGCATGCTGCTGCGCCAGTTGACGCCTCTGCTCCAAGATCTGCATGCGCAGCCCCTCTGCAGCCAATTCCACGTCGAGAATCGCACCAACACCACGCTTCCAGGTCTCCTCCAGCCCCACAATCTCTCCCTTGTTGGCTTCCTGGGCGAGCTTTCTCTCCTTGTTCACAGATTCGGCAGCCTCCTTCATCTCGGCCAATTCCTTCTCAAGCCCCCGTAGGATGTCTTCAAGCTGTGAATTGCCAATCAGCCAGGCATTCTTTCCATTCTCTTCTAGCAGCGCCAGATTCTCGTGCCGCATCGATAAATGGGAGCTGGCCGTGTAAGCCTTCTGCAGTGTCCGTCGCCATTCCTCCAGATCAGGGGTTCCGTCAGCGGCTTTAGCAGGCGCCTCAGGCGCTTCATAGCGGGAGAGGTCGATTCCGCCAGTCAAGGGCAGTCCGGCAGCCTTGCGGTCCACCTCCTGCTGGATGAGTGGAGAAAACCGTGACTCAGGAAAAGCAGGAATGGACGGGTGGATGGTCGTTTTGGCATCCAAAGAAAGCTCCGCGGCAATTAGCTTTTCTGCAGCTGCTCGTGCCTGGGTGGAAGGGGCCGGTTCGATGTCTAAGAAGGTCCACGCGTTAGAAGGGGAATTCATAGCAGAGGTAAGGCAGCTTACAAGGAAGTGAATCGTGGGATTCGTTGATGAGAGGCATGTTGACTTAAACCTGCGTATGACAACCGGATAACAAGAAACTAGAAGTGGCAGGGGTCAATGCGAAGTGATAACTTGTATAAAATCAAGCAGTGCCAGCAACAGCTCGCCATGAGCGTCTCAGCTTTTGCGCCGAGCACGAGAGGGCGGTGAGCATTGGTGGGTGACTCAGCAGTTTCTGCCGGAGATGATCTGGGGTGTTTGGGCTATACCGTTTTGGGCAATCCAAGTATAGATGATCTCGTCGAGCTGCTGAACAGGACGTCTCCTTACCTCGCTCATTCTCCACACGATCATTACTTTCCCGGATTTTTAGGCAAGACGGGCCTCTTCTCCACTTGACTGAAGGCTTAGCCTAGGCTTCTCTATCAGACGAGGTTCATGCGATCTACAGGGTCCCTTGTGACAGGGCAGGACTGGTCTCTGACTGGCCAGTTCCCCGCCTATGACCTTGACAGAGTCGCAACGATGATGACTCAACCAGCCAACCGCATGTCATTCATCTTCAGAGCAGAGTTCAAACTTATACTCTTGCAGCTAAATCGACGCGGGGCTGGATAGAACATTCCTGATCAAGCTTAGCCACGGATGACGACGGGAACGGACCAGACCCTTTCTCCTACATTCCAATAGCCTTTTCACCAATCGCGCCTCTTCCGCATCCTCCCCGCAAGGTTGCAGAGACCCTGCAGTGTCATCCCCGGAGCCGTCTATTTGAATTAGCCGGGCATGCCTTGTGATAGCTCCTGCCTCGGTCGGTCCCTGCTTGCAATAAGAAGGGCGCATCCCCGTGGACAGGCTGAAGGCTCTCTGGTACTGCAACGCTCCTAGAGCTTATGCCTTACCTCGGTGGAATGGCTAACTTTAGGCTGGGTGTGGCTTTGGCCAGCAGCGTGGCAACGGCACTTGTGCTGCTGCAACTGTTCTCACTGTTCCAGCACCAGAAACAGCCACTCAGTGTCATTGCACAGACTAAGTGGGCGCACAGAGCTGCTATATCCGAGGCAAATAACGATGATCTTTTCTTACTAGGGGCAGGAAAGGCGGATATAACAGGGTAAATACTCTTCATCCTAGTAGCGCTGCATAGATGCTGATACATTGTCTGCCAGACCTGTTGTTGAGTTAGGGCTGAATGGCTATGCTAGCTTGGACCAGATTGGGACTGGTCTTCGGCAGAGAATCTATTCTCGGGCTTTCATTGTCGCCAATACTAATAATCCAGATGACACTTTCATCTACCTTATCCTGGATGCATTGACGGGGGACACTGCTGTCCGACATGGAGTACTTGAGGGCCTTGCTAGCCTGGGAAGCGAGTATGCTCGATATAATGAGCAGAACATCGCCCTTACAGGGACACATTCTCATTCAGGCCCAGGTGCCTGGATGAATTATCTCCTTCCTCAAATTCCCACCAAAGGTTTTGATAAACAGAGTTACCAGGCGATTGTCGACGGTGTCCTCCTCTCAATCAAGCGAGCCCATGAGGGTTTAGCGCCCGGGCGTCTCAGCTTCGGGTCCATAGACCTAGAAGATGCCAATATAAACAGAAGCCCCTATGCTTATGACGCCAATCCTGCAGAAGAGAAAGCTCGGTACTCGGCAAATGTGGACAAGACGCTGACCCTGTTGAGGTTTGATCGGGAATCCGACAACAAGACCACTGCTGTGCTGACCTTCTTCCCCGTACATGGCACATCTATGTACAATAATAATACTCTAACCACTGGAGATAACAAAGGTGTGGCCGCTTGGCTCTTTGAGCGGAGTGTTAAGGGTGACCAAAAATTCTCGGATGACTTTGTCGCAGGCTTTTCTCAGTCAAATGTTGGCGATACTAGCCCAAATGTACTGGGAGCTTGGTGTGAGGATGGCTCTGGACAAGAATGCCGATACGCAGATAGCACATGCGGCGGGAAGACGGAGGACTGCCACGGCCGTGGACCTTATTTTCGCGAGAAGGATAACGGTGCCAAGAGCTGCTTCGAGATTGGACGGCGACAATACGCGGCTGCGAAAGAACTGTATGCCAACTTGGACTTCAATCCTGTTCGGATTCTTTCAAGCGCCGATGTCCGCTCATTCCACACTTACCAGGACCTGTCCAACTACACATTCACGTCGCCGTTCAATGGGAGTACCCTAAAAACCTGTCCTGCCGCATTGGGATTCTCGTTTGCAGCAGGTACCACGGACGGGCCAGGACTTTTCGACTTTACCCAGAATGGCACGGGACCAGCTGATTCCAATCCTCTGTGGTATGTCGCTCGCGCTTTCTTGCACCAGCCGTCAAAAGAGCAGCAGGCGTGTCAAGCGCCAAAGCAGGTCCTTCTCGATGTGGGACCAATCACACAGCCGTATGCCTGGACACCTAATATTGTGGACATTCAGGTCCTGAGAGTGGGTCAACTCTTCATTGTCATCTCGACAAGCGAAGCCACTACCATGTCTGGACGACGCTGGAAAGAAGCGATTGGCAGCTCTGCCAAAGAGGTTCTTGGAGTGGCAGAGCCTCTTGTGGTCCTAGGTGCGCCGTCTAATAGCTATGCTCATTACGTAGCTACCGAGGAGGAATACGGAGTGCAGCGCTACGAGGGAGCCTCGACTCTATATGGCCCCAACACACTTGCAGCATACATCAACCTGACCCTTACGTATCTGCCGTATCTGGGAAAGTCAGCTCAGACAGGCAGCTTACCGTCGCTATCCTCCGGAAAGATTCCTCCCATCAACACCAACAAGTCCCTGACTTTTATCCCCTCGGTTATATATGACGGGTCGCCAATCAGCAAAGCATTTGGGGATGTTGTATCCTCATCGGCAAATGTCACTTACGGGCCTGGAGACATGGTAAATGTCACGTTTGTGGGAGCGAATCCCCGGAATAACCTACGGCAGGAATCGACGTTTGCAGCTGTGGAGAGGTACAACTTAGCTACCGAATCATGGGATGTTGTGCGTACTGACAGCGACTGGAATCTTCTGTATAACTGGGAGAGGACGAGTACGATTTTGGGGTATAGCGAGGTCACTCTCCAATGGCAGATCGAGGACGAATATTATAACACGGGAAACCCCAATCCCGTCCAGAATGGAACGTACCGGTTCCACTATTACGGCGATTCCAGGAGTGTGCAAGGCAAGATATCATCCTTCGAGGGGATCAGTGAAGCGTTTACGGTTGCAGTCAGCTGAGGGCTGGCCTATACTATCCTGATGGTGGAGGCTGTAACCAAGCGGGAGGGAGTAGGATGATGAGACTGAACTGAACGTATGTGAAAGTAAGAAGTACCTATCAATAGCATGGAGCTATATTTGGATCAATATGTTTAATTGCAACCGGGTATCTTGATCTTGCTGCTTGGTGTTCGGCTGCATTCCATCGAATCTGGCCCATGTCTGGCTGACCAAGGATGGTGGCTCAGCTTGTGAGGCGTACTCTTCGATATGGCAAGAGTCCATTCAAGAGCTCAGTAGAAAGACAGCTATGATCCACTGTTCTGCAAGACTTGTCACGGTTGCCAATCAATGGGAAATGTTGTCCAACCGGGGCGGGTGCTGCAACATCCTGGCCGGCACTTCTTTGTCGCGCGCCAACTCGCCTCTCGCCAGCCAACCGATCCCAGCTTCGAGTCCCACAACAGCAAGCTGGACTGTCGGAATGTTTCATGTCAAGCTGCACTTGTTGGCGGTCCAGGCCGTGACATCAGCTAAATAAAGGGATGGCGAATGTCGCTTTCATCGCTTGGCTTCCTTAAGGACGGTCTTTCTCTTGCCTCACCCTCATTCGCTCGGCATCATTCAGATCTCGATTGTCCTTCTTTACTGCTCCTTTCGCTCATTATTTTCGTTGTCTCTGCATATTAATTCGAGTCAAAGATGAATAACTCTCTCTCCTGAACTTTCCAATCAGTATTAGTGCAGCGTGGTCAGCTATTAATCTTTGCATCCTTTCTTTGACTGCTCGTTTATCTGTTCTGCAATACATCTCTTTTGCGTACATAATATAGCATCTCATTGCATAATTTCACCAGCAGTTGAGATAATGTCTCTCTTACCAGTGATCCTCGTGACCTTCTTCCTGGTCTTTTGCTGTGCGGCTGGTCCGATTGCTCCTTTTGCTTCCAAGAGAGACCTGGAGTCGCTCTCCCCATCTCCTTCGCTCATTACACCTTATGTGCACGTTGCCAGTTCTTCGGTCGATGACGATGACGACAATGAGATCAACGCTTTGACTGTAGTTCCGGTTACACCCTCCAGTCTGCCTCAGACTGCATCCAGCTCTAGCACCACCATCGAGCCGGCGCTATCCAGCTCAGCTGCGTTCATTCAAGAGTCTTCGACAGTTGCTGCTACTACCTCGTCTCTGTCCGAGTCTTCCTCTGCAGTTACGCACTCGTTCGCTCCAAGCACCTCGTCAGATAGCACTGTGAATACCTTGTCGCAGACTCCAAAGTCTACGACTACAACTACAACTACAACTTCCTCACTTACAACACTTAGCGAGCCATCCTCAGCACCCCTCTCGCCTCTCTCAAGTGCAGTACGAAGCTCTCATACGACAAGTTCTTCATCGCATATTGTGCATATCACAACACCCTCTACTACACTTTCAGAGAGCTCTCATATTCTAACCCCCTCAATCATCATACCAGGAGGGCCAATGGAAGCCTCGTCGTCTCACGCACCCGGGACAGCAACTTCTTCTCACATCACACATGAGGCGTCATCTTCTGCTGTCAGAGTATCACACTCATCAAGCGCAGCAGCAGAGATGTCAAAATCATCTCCGTCACACCAGGGGACGCTCACTTCATCTAGTAGACTACTACATTCCTCGACAGTCGCACTCCTGCCATCAAGCGGCGCTCCAGAGAGCGCTCCAGAAACTTCATCCACACGCACTTCGGAGACTACAACGTCCACCAGCTTCACGATTGGAGTCATCGTGCCTCTCCCAGAAACCAGTACTAGCTCTTCCACCATGCTTGAAATGTCATCCTCCACCTCACAGTCCAGCGAGAGCATAACAACTACAGCCGATGACACCTCATCCGCATCCAGCACAAAAGCCCTCTCAACACCCACTGAAAGCGAAACTACCACATCAACCCCCCACACAGCCAGCCCATTTATTGGCGTAACTATACCCACGACAACCAAGACCACACAGCCAGCAGACCCAGCGGACATAACAACAACAACCACCACCACCACCCCCACATCAGAAGCAGAGGACGCCATCACAACCACAACCTCAGCCCCAACTCCAGTCGTCGTCCTAGTCACGCCCGAAGGGTCAACGACTCTCGTCGGAACCTCCTCCTTCATAGCGCCTAACCCAGACATCACCAGCACATCCACATCCACATCTTCCCTCACAACGATCGAGCCAACCCCAACTACATCCACAACCGAACCCCCAACCACCCTCCACGCCACATCAACAACAATCCAGACCGTCTACGTAGTCATAACGGATACACCAACCCCCGAACCAACTTGGGATTCCACGACCATTGCTACTGCCATTATTACTGTTTATGATAAGTCAACCTCGGAAACCGTCCCCACCACAACCACCACATCACAAGCTGGAGAAGAGAGGGAGTCAACGACAACTCCGTTAGATACAGAGCAAACATCAACTCAATCTTCCGAAGACGAAATCTCCACGTCCACAACTATAGCGGATACAGAAACAGCAACAGCAATAATCACATCCTATCCCTCTACATCCACTTTGTCTGGTGAAACGGGAGATGTTATTAGGATTGTGCCTGTGACACCTACGGGTCCGATCACTGTCACTGTCACTGTGACTGAGAAGGAGAGGGAGACGGTGACCAAGACGGAGACGGTGACGGAGAGGGTTACTGAGACGGAGAGTGTGACTACGTGATTATTATGTTATTTGTGTTAGTTAGGAGGGATGGATGTAAGTAATAATACATACATAGTTCAGGGTTTGAGTTGATGGGTTGGCAGTTATGCCATTGGATATACGTTGTATATTAATATGATATCATACCTTGTGCTACTTCTCCATGTTGGGACCTCGTTTTGTAGTGCTAATACTATATACACAACTGGTAAGTAAAAATGTAACGATTCGTTGTCATCCATCTCATTTGAGATACTATGAAACACATCAAATCATATCATCCACCCATCAAGAATGAGCTAGATACAGGTATCATCCATCCAGGATACAAACAGTCAAAAGTCAATCCACACTCTATAAATAATACACATATATATAGACACCAAGGCCGTTCAATCATACTCCCCCCACCAAATAATACACACGGAACTCCGTCGCCACCCTCTGCTTGCTAATCGAGTAACTTCATTAACAATCGGTACCACGCCTCCCAAACGAGTAAAGCAATCGATACCCCATCCTAGAAACTCCAGCTACAAGGATGCAAAATAAGTCAGCTTTGAAAATGCTTTCGTGTCCATTACAGTTCGGATAACATGCCCCCTGCTTCGGCAAACTTGGCCTGGTATTCTTTCAGACTGGCCCATTGGCGCAGCTCTTCTTCATCGCGATCATGGTCGCTCAAGTAGCTGATTGATTGTCGGTGCACCTCGGGACTGGAGCCACTGGAGCCCTGGCTAGAACCGGACTTAAACCCCTCTAGGCGTACAAGAGTATCGATGAATGCGCGGAGGTAAGCTTCGGCTTCTGCGGAAGTCAAAGGGTGAGGGCCAGTCATGGAGGGCGTGATCATGTTCTGATGCGGAAAGTTGAGTAATGTGGATGCGATTTGGCGGATTTTAGCGGTCTATGAAGAGGTCAGTGCTCTCAATTCATGTTCAAGGAGATTAGTGTGCATACGAAGCTGCCGCCATTGGGTTCCATACTACTCTCGTTGACCGATTGCAACAAGATAAATAGGTCACGGATCACCAGCCGACGCTCTTCCGCCATCATCCTTCCAATATAATCTGATTGGGCATCCGCATCGGATGTGTCCAAACTCTGCGGCTGCTCACCTTCAACCTTAATCGTAGTTCGGGGGCTGACAGGTATTTGCTGGTCGGACTGTTTCCGCTGCAATTTCCATGCCCCGTACAAGGTCCAATATTTCTCTACCAAGTATGACCGGGTGCCCAACTGACTTGCGTAGATGTTCGCCTTTTGAATCTGAAGTTGCATATGGCGTTTATGTGCCCGCAGGTCCTCCACAGGAGGTGGAGGGTCGAATTGGCCTTGCCCATTGTCCATTTCGGGATCTTGGGATAGCTGGATCGCCAATTCCCGTGGAACATTAGAAAGGGCAGATTTAGCCTTTTGCAGACACTCCCACATAAGAGAGCGTTGCCGTTCCCAATCAAAGACCTGGCCACTCCCAAACGCCGTCTCCCAGGCGGAGAGAGTATTATACGAACTCAGGACCCGGACGTTGGCGTTGAAGCCCACCAGAAGAGAAATCCGATTGGATGGTTGTGGATCAACATGTGTTGAGAAGATATACTCATCATCCACTTCGAGGGGCAAGGGAGGATAGCGCGAAGTCGGGGTTTCAGGAGGCACATGGATAGTCACGTCACCGGAGCCAAGCTGCTGCAGCGTCCGGTAGCCGGCGAGGGTGGTGTAGAATAAGCGTCGTCCAAGCTCCTGCTCGATGATGTCGACGTGAAGATCGGCGGTCGCGCCGCCAAAAGGATCTTGCGAATAACGCGACGAGGAAGAGGGGCTTGGCGGAGTCATTGCCGTAAGGCAATTCGACTGCCGACAAAGGTCATAGACGTGTAGCATGGTAAGGCATTCCGCAAAATATGCACGACATCGGCGCATGTGCCAAACATATCCGGAGCAAAGCCCGAGAAAATAGCTAGTTGCCGCATCGTACACTGTCGCGCTTCGATCAAGATAGCCACAGCCTCTAGCTTGGACTGCAACATCATGGCATCGCCGGACCAATGCCATCGAGTGTGGAAATGCTGCCTTCTCCGCCTCCGTCTTTAAATGCCGCTTGGGCCTCCGCGGAAAGGACGCCACCAATGTCCCGACCATGGCGGCCGTGAGGGCCAAAAAGGTAGTGTTAGAGAGGTCATCTCGCCGCTCCAGAGCGGCGCGGAACGTGGGCTCATGGGGGACAGGGACCAAGGGATGGATGTAGGTGAAAAAATCGTCTATTAACAGCCGCAGGGTCGGCATAGAACAAATGGACTCCGCCGATAGAGGCGCTGGGGTTGACGAGGGGATGGTGGTGCTCCCCACTGACCCAGGAGGACCCGGTGTGGCATGGTCTGATGGACTTGGGGAGCCTGCAGGGGACTCTGCTAACTTCTGCTTTTTGAATGCTTCTGCGTGGCGGTTAGGGGGGCCGCGACGTCGACTCGGTCGCTCATAAGTGCAAGGGATGTCTAAGCTTGCGCACGACCGACAGGGTGGTCCGCTGGTGTCGCACTAAGCAGAGTTAGCCAATGCTGCACTTGCTTTGGGGACTGTGACAGCTGCATGTAGTGTACCTTCACTTTTCGGATACTACAGGCGTCACAAGCCTTGCGCAGTCTGGTTCGTTGGTCCATGGGCATCTAAAGGACACAGCGGGTGTTCCCATGCTTTTGCGAGTCGCATTCAGAAGCCTAGAACATGGGGTGATTGTCGCGGACCAGGACCAGGACGTCCGCGCATACTACACCACAGAAGCCGGACGCAGCAGCGCTGTCGATTGCGGGTCGGAGACGGAAAGTGGGAATGATAACGAGAGAAATCTGGAGAAGATGCAGCAGGGATGACTAGTCGTAGTTAAGGTAAGCCGATAAGTCCGGGCACTAGCGAACAACAGCACCTCAGGGGGGCACCAGGGGGGTGAAGTAGAGTTAGAGAGTGTTAGTCCACGGACGAACGGTCCAGTTGTTGTGGGGGAAATTGGAAGGATGATCGCCCGAACGAGGCTCGAAGAATTATTAAAGGACGGAGGTTTAGTCTAGAAGGGTTGGTTTGGAAGATGGAAAGACTAGATTCGCAGGTTTCGCAGGACCGTTCAACTTTTTGAGTTTGAAGGTGATGGGCAGTGAGCCCAAAGAAGCGACCCCGGAGTGACCTAATGCAATATCGACCACCGGTCAGAATATCCCCGCCCGGTGGAGGTCTGGACGCAGGCGTAGGTTGGCTGGGACGAAGTAGTGGACGAAGTAGTCTGGTACCTTAAGTTGGGCCAAACTCCGCCGTCGATCGAGAAGAGGGGCTCCAATGACGGGTGGAATCGGAGCCCTGCACTTCACCGGTGATGACCGTTTTATGGAGCTTCGGAATGTGTTTTTCTTTTCTTTTTTTTCTTTTCACTTCTTTGTCTTCCTTCTCCTATCGGTTGTCTTCTCTCAATGCTAATTTCCTCATCACTTCCTTTTTCTTGGTGCCATGTCTGATGGTGATTTGAAATGCAGTGTCGATCAGAGAGAGGAGAAAGCGAGTCTGAAAGCCGAGACTCTGAATCAAGCGGGGAGGAGATCACGTGGCTGCGCGTTATGCATTGTTTGCTGCTTACAAATGAAAGTTACGATGCTGGAACTTTGAGGCTCAAGGGCCGAGGCAACTAGAGAATTGAAATGGGTCGCATTGAAGGAGGCTTATTTAGTTAGTTAGATGGCTAATAAGTTAGTTAGTAGTACTCCGTAGTAAGAGGAATAATAAGCAACAATTATGCCGGGCGCCAACGATGACGACGGAGGGAACCGACTGAGACTCCCATCGTCGCAAGTGCCGTCAGGGACTCGGTGCCTGATTTGCTCACAAATTGGGAGTAGAAGCGGGTAACAAGTCCGGAACCCTATATACTGTAGTTACTGTTGCAGTGCGTAGTAGGATCGGAGCACTGTCGGGCGCCGGCAAGGTTTGCTAACTGGGCTGCTAGTCTCGCCCCGTCAGGGGTTACTTCCCAATCGGTCCGTCTCCGCCGCACACTAATCTAAACTTCCCCCCCGATACTAATTACTTTTACTTATCCTCGACCAGCGAAAGGCTCGCTGTCTAGCAAAGTACTTAGGAAAAAGCCCGCCGGTGGAGTCGGCAGTCTGTTTGCATCCTGTCGCAGGGACCAACCATGGCAACAATGGGACGATCGAACCACCGACCCTCTCTACTCATGATTCAGGACGCCAAAAAGTGTTCGGAAATCCCGGTCATCGGTGTGACCACCTTAAAATCAATAACCCGTACGTTGACATCACAACAATGTCCAAGGCAAATCGAAAATTCCCTTAGAGAGGCAAAAGGGCTGTAAAGAAGCGAGGAAGATGGATGACGCTAAAAAGAAGCGGGATATAGGCTAAAGAAGTATCAATAAAAGAAAAAAACACAAACTAAATCATCGCATCATCATCATTGTAATCATCGTGGTAGAGACCCTCGGGATCTCGCCCGGGCCTCCTGCCCAAAAGATCGCGCTTGTTTTCGAGATCCACCGTCCAAAGAGCAGATCCAACCGCGGTTGACATCAGGAAAAACATGGACAAAATGGGGACCAACTGAAGTATCAGAGCCACCGTCCCAAATCTAGGCTCCCTCGTGGTTGATTGTTAGTATGAACCTCGGTAGACCTTCAAAGGGGGTTGTGTCAGGGGAAAGAAGGTTGAAACCCACGTGGTATATTGCAATTGTCTGCGGCGGATCCTTTCTTTGCGCTGTTGTTTCGAAAGATCCAACAACTGGAAGTATCGCCAATGGTGGAAGGGGCCCGCCCGGTAGCCGGTCAGCACGAGGAACATGGGTGTTCCGGCCACCGGGATAAAGTTCAGCGGTAGAAGCACAATGAATTCCACGATTTGCCGGAGTGAGAACGGTGCATAAACGGCGCTCTTGGTGGGCTTGCCGAGCCGTTTGACGACATCATCGCCCTGGGGGTACAAAACCCTCGACATGGTGACGAGTTCGCCATGGCCCTCACTCACGAGCACCGAGTCAAAAATGTCCACGAGGGTCTCATCGACAAAGAAGGCTTCAAAAAGAGCAGCAACAATCGCAGCCCCCTCCCCTAGTACCAGGAACGCGCCATTGATCCAGGCCCCGACACCCTGGAAGATGGACAGGAAGGCCACTTGGGGCAAATATGCAAATAGGAAGAGCAGGACGTAGATGAAAGCGGACAGGAGGACGATCGGAATTAGACGAGTCTTGAAAAGAGGCCAAAGGTAGCGGTGCGACGCAAAATAATAGATGCCCTGTAGAATCACCAAACAATCAGTTTCACCGCACGAAAGTGAACAGGCAGCAACGAGGCCAAACATACCCGCAGGGGATATAACCACGCTGCTTTAGTAGTATCGATATGTCTGTGTGGCATGATCAAACAAACAAAAGGAGATGATAATGCCAGAAGGAGACTGATAGAAAAGGGGTACGAATCGAAGAAGAGAAAGAGCGAAAGTGTGAGTTGGAGAGCGATGCGGACCAGGCACAAACACACCCGAGCACGGCCTCAACATCGTCATGTCCGCCAAGACCTTATCGATAAGCGGGCGGTGAAGCATGGTGTATAAAGCTGAAATTTTCGCCCGCCTCAACCTTTCCTTTTCTTTTCCTCCATACATAAACTGAAACACCTTCTTATTCACTCTGAGCTCCTTGACCGTGGAACCTTGGAGGGGAAATAGAAGGTCAGAGTAACTCGCTGACTTACCCCGAATTCTTCTCCTTTAAGCGTGGAGCGTTTGGAAATATTTACAGTGGTACATCGCTTTTTAAAATTTTCGGCATGTTGCCTATTTCTCAACCCATGTAAAAAAGACCTTCATGAAGCTGCTAGCAGTAGGAGGGCTATAGTGACAATTGTTGCTTGATCACCTCTACAATCCCTCCCAGATGGTGAACGATCGCTGTCGGCTTGACATCAGGCAGCGCCTTGTCGGCCCAGCTTGTCTCAGCCCGGTCTACCCAAATGGCATTCATACCCACATTACGGGCGCCCGCAATGTCAAATGGATTGCCACTGACTAGCCAGATATCCTTCATCTCTGACTGATTTCGGCCGACGCACTTTGCCAGATAATTGTAGACTGCCGGAGCGGGCTTGTACTGCTTCACTTCGTCAACGCTGACAACATCTCGGAAGAGTGCTTTGTGCTGCGATAGAACCGTCGAGCTCTCCACGCAATTGGAGATCATGCCCCGGGTGCCATTTGAGAAGATGACGGATGTGACTTGTGGAAAAGCTGAAAGCTGATTCAAAGCGTCCTCCACATCGGGGAAGGGAGTTAAGCTATTGTAGGTCGCCATAAGATGCTCGATCTCCTTGTCTCTCAGCGAGGTACCCGTATCATCCAGGGCATGCAGAAGGGAATTCCTGGTGACTTCCAGGAAGGTATGATAGCGTCCTGGAACATGAGACGATATTAGCCGACGTAGAAGCAATCCTTGCAAGACTATAATATACCCATGCTGTTCAGTCTGAAGGTGTATTCAAGCTGGTAGCGTCTCCATGTCTGTGCCACGGTCCGGGCCCGGGTCTCATCGTTCAAGAAGCGCTCCAGCTCATGAGTGACAGCCTCAAACGAGAGCAGTGTGCCATAGATGTCGAACGCAAGAACAATATCCCCCATGATGTAGACTGAGTGTCCCAATGCAACCGAATCCCGGATAGATGGTGGTCGTACGGAGTAGAATAAGAAGAAACACGGCACCCGAAACTCAACTATTTAATCCGCCGATTGACGATGATGTCAAGGCCTCATCAACCCAACCGCCTCACCACCACAAAACAAACCCAACAACCTCCCCAATGAACCCACAATGACAGCGCCAGACAGCGAGAACTACCAGATATTCCGCGACTGCGTATCGAGCGCAATCGTCGCGAAATTCTCTCCCACGCCTCGAACCAAGAAAGCGCGACGTCCGCGCACCACTCCGCGCCAGAAGTCCAGCAGTCGAGCAGAACCAAAACCAGAACCAGAACAACCGCAACAAAATGAATTCACCAAAACAGATCCAGAAGACCTCGCTGACTTTATCGACGTGCGTAGCCTACATGTTAGCCCAACATCACCCACGAATAACTAACAACACTGAGAGAGGGCGAGAGCGAGAGAGCGGGGTATCCCCTTCCTCCCCTCCCCTCCCCTCTCTTCACCAACAAAACAGTTCATAGCAACAGAAACCTTCCCCTCCCTCCAACCACCGACTCTCCAAACCCTCAGCTACGACCCCAACACCGACTTCACAAGCAGCAAAGAATACAGCCCACAACACCTCGCCGAAAAAACCTCGCACACCCTACCCGCCTCCATCACAGATACGCTAACGGCATACGCGCTCATCGAATCAGCCTCCGACATTCCCTATTTCCTCGCGCCGATACTAGGCGAGTACGTTGCGTCCGTGACGAAGCCACCGCCCGTGTGGGCGACTACGCGCACGGATGCGTGCGAGATCTGCGAGCGGGATTGGATTCCGCTATCGTATCATCATTTGATTCCGAGGAGTGTGCATGCCAAGGTGGTGAAGAAGGGGTGGCATGAGGAGTGGAGGTTGAATAGTGTAGCGTGGTTGTGTCGCGCGTGTCATAGTTTTGTGCACCGCATGGCGAGTAATGAGGAGTTGGCGAGGGAGTGGTTTACTGTTGAGAGGATTTGCGAGAGGGAGGATGTGAGGGATTGGGCGAAGTGGGTGGGGAGGGTGAGGTGGAAGGCTAGGTAGATAGATGTATTACATGTAGTTTTGGTTATGAGTAGGGTGAAAAAGGCATAGTTGTAGATGGGTATAGAATTTTGATTTGTAGACTCCTTTCTATTCGGGTGGTCATCCCGGAAATTCATATCGTACAAAATGATTGCTCCGCCACACGCTTTTGGGACATGCAGATGCGAAACATGGTAACAGCCAGAAGGGGTATGTATGTAGAGGTGGACAACAATTGTCCGCTAAAAATACAGATGCCAAAAGTTATGAGTGGAAAGGGGGGGGGGGGGGGGGGGGGGGGGGGGGGGGGTGAATATGAAGCCGAAGTGTCGATCACAGGTATCTCTTCTCGAAGACTTCCTCATAGCATTGGATGTGGTCGCCAACGGCAAAGTCGGTCCAGCCATCGAAGCCGATACCACATTCCGTGTCTTTGCGCATCTCCGTTACGTCCTTCTTGACGTTCTTTAGAGACGTGATCGAGCCTGCAGCTAGTTAGTCATTTGCCATAGAAGCAACATGCCATTGAGGGATTCAACTTACCATCATAGATTGTCTCCTGACCTCGGATCACGCGAACCTTCCTGGCCCGATTGATCGTTCCATTACGCACCTTGCATCCTGCGATGGCTGTCTTGTTACGTCCCTTGACCGTGATCTCGAAGATTTGTCCGATCTCTGCTTCTCCTGTCACACGCTGGCTGACGTTTGGTGCCAGCTGCTCACTCAGAATGCTCTTGACGTCATCAATGAGTTTGTAGATGATGTTGTGATTCATGATATTGACGCCGCGCTTCTCCGCCATCCGTGAGATCGCAGGCTCGATGGGCATGTTGAATGAGATAATGTGGCCATTGGCCGTGGCCGCATGCTCAATGTCAAACTCACTAATCGGGCCTACTTCAGAGCGAAGTACATTGGCATACACTTCGTTGTTACCGACAGCGGTGACTGAGTTGAGAACGGCCTCTGCCGAGCCACCAACGTCGGCCTTGATGATGAACTGCACCGGCTTGGGGCCAGATTGTACGGTCTCCTCGGCCTGGTCCGCCCCAGCCTCTTCTTGGCGGCGTTTCTCTAGCTTTTCACGACGCGCTTCGTTGATGGCGGTCATGTCTTCACTCAGTTTCTGTGTCTCAGCCCGTTCCAACCGGTAGTCCACGACACTCTTAGCGTGCTGCTCATCGTCAGCCTGCAAAAGCTCAGTGCCCGCCGAGGGCTGCTCTCGCCAGCCATCAACCTCCACTGGCATGCCGGGAGTGGCTTCGAGAACTGTCTGGCCAGCTTCGTTCCGAAGTGTGCGCACACGCGCCCAGGTGGTGCCAGCAACAATGATATCTCCGGTCCGCAGCGTTCCCCGCCGGACAAGTACGGTAGCTACACGGCCATAGCTCTTGGTAGTGGCCTCGATAACCCATCCTTCGACGTGACCCTGGGGGTCAGCCCGGTGGTCGAGCACTTCTGACAAGGTGATAATTGCTTCTTCAAGCTCCAGCATTCCCTGGCCGGTCTTTCCACTCACACCGATTGCTTGTACGTCACCACCAAAATCTTCGACGTGTACACCGTGGATCGAGAGATCCTGTTTGACCCTGTCAGGATTGACGCCTTCCTTGTCCATCTTGCTCATGGCAACAATGATAGGGACATTGGCAGAAGTGGCATGCTTAATCGCCTCAATCGTTTGAGGTTTGACGCTGTCATCCCCCGCAACCACAAGGACCACAATGTCGGTCACGTCCGCACCACGACGGCGCATATCCAAGAAAGCAGCGTGACCAGGGGTATCCAAGAAGGTGATGGTCTTCCCGGAAGGCATAGCCACCGAGAATGCACCGATGTGCTGAGTGATACCTCCGTGCTCTGTTGCGACAATCGAGGACTTGCGAAGCCAGTCTAGGATGGTGGTTTTACCGTGGTCAACGTGCCCCATGATCGTCACGACCGGGGGCCTGACAGGTAGATTTGACTTATCTTCCGGCTCTGGCGCTGCGGTCAAGTCACCCTCGCCAGTATCGAAAATGGGTTCATAGTTGTATTCAGAGGCAATCAGGCCGGCAGTTTCTGCATCAAGGACATGATCATACGTAACGTCGTCGAAGCCCATCTCCTCCATGCGTTTAACAAACTGTGCGGGACGGACGCCAATGACGTCTGCAAGAGTGCTGACGCTAATGAACTCGGGGAGATAGAGAGGGCTGATAGTAGCTTGCATCCCCTTCTTGCGCGCTTTCTCCTTCTTCAAGCGCTTTTTCTCTTCGCGACGCTTCCGGCGTTGAGACTCCTCGTCCTCGTCAAATAGATCCTCCTCATCCCTACCGGACTCGCGTTGCTTGCGACTGACTTTCCGTTTTGGCTTCGATTCTGGGACTTCATCTTCACGTACTTTGATATTCTTCAAAGATGACGCATCCCAGGTCCAAGGGTCAGCAGGCTTCTTTTCCTGCTTGTCTTCCTCAGACTGCTGCTGCGCTTTCCTTCCTTCTTTCTTTGCCTCCCTCTCTTCTTTTCTTGCCTCTATTTCCTTTTTCCTTGCTTCCCTGGCTTCTTGGGCGGATATTTCTTCATCGACATTAGAGTCGAACACAGGCCGTGGGCCGGCAAATTGTCCTTGGCTTGCCATGTAACCCCTGAAGGCTGCTTCCCTTGGGCGGAGCCCTTCAGCATTCCCGCCATCCTTCTCAGACAAGACAGACTGGCCCAATTTCCGAATCTTTGTTGCTTCCTCGTCTGCGTGGCGATGGCGGTGTGAGGCTCGGTGCCGTTGCGGCCCCTCGTGCAGGTTTGGTCTGGCTGCTTTGCAGTGCGGGCAGACGGTATGCTGTCCGTAACACCTCGTCTGACAGTCCGGGCATGTCCAACTTGTCGACCGCTTGTGCTTGGGCACCTTGTTGACGTTGACCTCGAGTGATCTGTCGGGTTGGAGGGACAGGCTTTCCTTATCCTCATTGTTATGACCCGAACGCCGCCTGGGGAAGGCATCGGATTGCCTGGGCTTGAAGCCGGAATCACGCCATCTCGTGCTCGGCCATTGTTCTTCCATGCGGCCCTGGGACCGCCCTTCCTTCCATCGTTGTTGCGATTGCTGCTGCCTTTCTTTACGTTGCTGCTCTTGCTCTTGTCTCTGTACTTGTTTCCGCTGTTGTTGTTCTTCTTGTTGCTTCTTTGCGACTAATGAGTCTCGGATGGCTTGCTCCGCCGGACTCAGCCCAAGCGGTCTCTGCGTTTTGCTTCCCCAACGATTACCGAATTTCGGCCCTGAAGGTGCAGGGCTGGAGCTTGTACCTGCAACTGGGTCACCGGGACTGTTCGATGGCGAAGATTCAGAAGAATCGAGGCGAAGAGGAGAAATTCGAAAATGCCGTCGAGGAACCAAGCCTACTACCGGGACGAAGGCAGCATTTCTGCGGGCGGTTGCGCACGACCATTCGACACCGTGACGGCGGGATAGCTGAAAATGAAGATAGAGTGTTAGATACAGAGCTAGCAGATAAGAAAGCATTGGAACTTACTTCCAAAGCAGCCCGCCTGTGCATGATGTGTTGTCGTTGCTTACAGCGAAACCCTCGGCGCCAAAACTGCGGAGAAGAACATCGGCGCCGTAAGTAATCAAAGTAACAGTGGTGTATCCGCCCGTACGCCGCCTGCTGACTCAGCCCGCGGGTCCGCCAGTTTTCCGCCTCACGTGCGCTCGGCGCCATCGCCGAATCGGAGGCGAGCGCCCTTTTGCGACATCAATTGCGCTCTTCTTTCTCGTCTTTGGATAAGCTCCGTCTCTTCCTCCTTCTCTCTGTCCATACACGGTCTCCTGGGTTCTCGGGATTAAGAGATCAGCTGCGTCGTTTGGTGCGATTCCGTCCTTGCCTCTGCGACTCGATCTCCTTTCAACTTTCAGTTTCCCGAACCTGTAATACTTCCCCGCAATGGAGTCCGAGGCATTCGAGGACATGCAGAAGGGGGGCGGAACCCTTCGCACCCTCAAGGATTTGGGTGCTGGTGCTGCTGGTGGAATTGCTCAGGTGCTTCTTGGTATGTCATAATTATTGCTTCATATTCCTTCAACATATACCATCCCCGATGCCATTGCGCGCGCATGTTCTCCGTTATATGGATTGCTCAAGTGCGGTGAGAATGTGCTGGCGCATTGCGTTCCCATGTCTTATCTGGATTGTCCCTCGTCCTTACCACAAACCTCTACTTAGAGCACAGACTAACGATGCACAGGACAACCTTTCGGTGGGTAGCCTCTCTCTCAAACCCGAGAGTTCTCCTAACAATGAACAGACATTGTCAAGGTCCGCCTGCAAACCACCACTCAGTACTCTAGTGCTCTGGACTGCGCCACCAAGATCCTGAAGAATGAGGGCCCCTTCGCCTTCTACAAGGGTACCCTGACTCCGTTGATCGGAATCGGTGCCTGCGTAAGCACCCCATCAGAACCAAGCATTAGTCCCTTACTCATACTTACCGCCCACAGGTCAGCGTTCAATTCGGTGCTTTCCACGAAGCCCGCAGACGTCTTGAGAAGCTCAACAAGAAGAAGTATGCCGACAGCACTCTCTCCTACACCCAGTACTACATGGCCGGTAGTTTTGCCGGTCTCACCAACTCTTTCCTGTCTGGCCCCATCGAGCACGTCCGTATCCGTCTGCAAACCCAGCCCCACGGAGCTGACCGTCTGTACAACGGTCCCATCGACTGTATCCGCAAGCTCTGCAACCAGGGCGGTGTCCTCAAGGGTCTCTTCCGCGGCCAGAACGTCACCTACTTCCGTGAAGCCCAGGCCTACGGAACCTGGTTCCTGGCTTTTGAGTACCTCATGAACCAGGACGCCAAGCGCAACAACGTCAAGCGCGAGGACATCTCCAGCTTGAAGGTCGCTACCTACGGTGGTCTGGCCGGTGAGGCGCTCTGGCTGTCCAGCTACCCCTTTGACGTGGTCAAGAGTAAGATGCAGTGCGACGGCTTCGGCGCCCAGCAGCAGTTCAAGAGCATGACCGACTGCTTCAAGAAGACGTATGCTGTTGAGGGTCTGGCCGGCTTCTGGAAGGGTATTGGTCCTACCCTGCTTAGGGCTATGCCAGTGTCGGCGGGTACTTTTGCTGTGTACGTTTATCCCTCACCTCTGCTTACTCTCCGTCTTTATGTTTAGGTTACTAATATGCGTTACAGTGTCGAGCTCACCATGAGAGCCCTGGGCTAAACTACTTCGCCATCGACTTAGCACAGAACCTAAATAAAATAATACCCAACACGTCGTCAATGTGTGTCCAAGTTCGGTGGTCTTTAGGGTTTCGATATCCCCGTTTTAGTTTTCTTTCATTCAACAGGCACTGGAGGAAAAGTTCCGCTTAGACGTCATCCTTTTCAAAACAATGTTAAATTGCATGGTTTATAGAAAGTTCTTCCTTCTGGCAAGCATTCAGGATTTCAACACTTGGCCAGCTCAATATGATATGATATGATGATTCCTTTTTTCACCATCTACCAAATCTGCGCAGACTTCCACATTATCCAATCTCACAACAACCAAACTACCACAAATATTCGAATTAGACCGCCAACGAAAAATCCCCAAAGAAATCCTGCCACGCAGTCGGAAAATAAAACAGATCCAAGCCCGGAAAATCCCACTCCCTAACAAACTGCTCCGGCACAAAACTCTGCAGATCGGCCTGCGCATCAAATAATTCCCAAAATGGCGTCATCGCATTAGTGCCCGGTTGATTAGTATCTCCTCCCACATTTCCGCCGCCTACTCCTGTTTCCCCAATCGGGACATCATTCACCTCCCTTTCCTGCAACACACGACTATATTTTTCAATACTCAATCGTAATATCTGCATGTAGATATTATTGTTATTTCCTATCCCTGTTGTTGTTGTTGTCGTCGCTGCTGCTGCTGCCGTTGTGGCCGATTCCCCGTTAGTCCTGGTTAGCTCATCCAGAAGTCTATTTCCATGATCTAGAAGTTCCGTGTGTTCTTCTTTCCGTTCTGGAAGGAGACGTGATAATTTCAGGAGTAAGAGGAAGCAAAAGGCGCATTTGGCCCAGACGAAATCCATGGCGTACTTGAGTTTGGCGAGGTAGAAGTCGGGTTCGAGGCTGATTAGGCGGAGGTGTTTTCGGGCGCTGGATTTGGCGGTTAGGAGGATGGTTTGTTCGATTGGGGACATTTCTCTGGATGTATATGCTACGTGTTAGTACTAGGTAGACGTGGATGTGGGTTAGGGCTTGGGAGGCAAGGATAGTATGTACGCGACGTTTCCTACGCCCATGGAACGGAGCGCTTTGCAGTGCAGGATTAACTCGGCCCAGCATTTTTGGACTCGTAGCGCCGCCAGGAGGAAGGGGCGTTCTTGGGTGGCTGTGGGGGAGTTTTCTGTTTCTGTTAGTAGAGGTTATCATCTGATTTGAGCATGGTGCTATATGGTGGAGGTGGTACCGATTATGCGTAGCCAGTCGCTGGTTGAAATTAGTGGGTGTGTAATGTGCCATGGAGGGGATGTTAACTTACTCAAACCAGAGATCGAGATCTACCTTGGCTTCGTGTACAAACTCTGTGATATCCGATCTTTGGAGCGTTTCTTTGGCGTCTAGAGTATCGTTGACTCTTGCTATAATCTCGTCAACCAATTAATCAGAGACTCTGGGATTAGGGGAGGTTTACCACGTATGATGTTCAACTGTTCAATACTAGTTACTAAGGGGCAATAACTTTGAGGCAGGCAAACTCACCTCCACCTGAGAAAACAGCCGCAAATCCAAGACAGTAGACGTACGATGACGAAGCAAAATGCGACATCGATGTGCATTCCCTGTCACCCGGATACCAGGAGGCTTCCCACCGTCGACGTGGAATCTGTTGATTTCTTCTTAGCATGCGCATGTACCTGGCTTACATCGTGGACTCACATGTGATCAAGCACCAAAAGACCAAACCACGTCCTAGATTTACGCATCAAAGCGCGCTCTTCGTCATCTACCACCACACCAGACATATCATGAATCCCTTCGGTCTCTTTCATCGTCAGTCTCTGTATCAGTTCCTCGAATGCTTCATCCAGGCCCAGATCCAAGGCCATTCTAGTTGCAAACGATAGGATCAAGGACCGTTCGGCGGAGTAGCAGGCTACAATGAGCAATGCTTGCACCGATTCCAAACAATTGAGGTTTTTGTTTTGAATGACCACATTTATCGATCTTTTGAGTTCAGCATGTAATAGATCAGGGATCTGAGATCCGGACCCTGGAATTGTCAGTGGTTTGTCACTTGTCCATTTATCCGGCGGTAAGCATACTGATCTCAACCCGACTGCCAATCGTGCAAATAGCATTGAGCAAAATGCTACTGCGTGCGCGCACAGAGTTGAAGGTGTCAATATCTGGATCGAAGACCGGGATATACCTATCCTAAACACCCCTACGTATGAGCCTCATATATCATGACTGAATGAAAAGAATCACATACACAGCCCTGAAAGAACCTATACCGCGGGTTAGCAAACGGCGTCCCAGACACCAACACCCAACATGCACAGCAACATACGTCCTAAAGCACGACATAGCCTGATCAGCCGTCATCATCCCCCTACTGATGAAATCCAATATTGGCTCTTCCCTGATATCGAATCCTGAACGTCGCGACCGGGTAGGCCGAGCAGCCTCCATTCCAGGAGTCGGAAACTGAAACACGCCAGCATCATGATCCCTATGGGTCACAGGATACCTTACCCCTCGCCAATGGTGATGATGATGATGATGATACCCACCCAGACCATCTGTAGCGAGAAACGTCGGCATTGTCCCAGGATCAGACATGACATGAGCTGAAGCCGGAGACGTGACAGCAATTTGCTGTTGCTGCTGTGTAGATTGACGGAGTAGTAGCTCATTCACATTGCTTAATTGCTCCCGTAGACGCTGTACTTCTGCTTCAACGTTCTCCAGGCGTCTGGACATGATATTATAGTCAACACACGACAGCTTCACCAAGGTTGATTAGGAAAGAATTGGATGAAAAGTACATACAAAACAGCAGGATCCTTCGGAATCTCAAAGAATACACACTGTTTCCTTGCCCGCTTACATCTATTCATCTTCGTTAGCATACTAACTCATCTTACTATTTTCTTAGTGCATCATACCTTGTACACGGTCGTTTACCATCACATTTCACCTATACAACACTACATATGAGTAAATGCAATACAACCCCAAAATGCAGTCACAAACTTAGTGGTACGAAAGATGACTTACTTTCGACTGTCGACAAGAGGTACACGCTTTCTATACCGTATATTGATATGTTAGCTATATTCGGTACTTCCAAATAGTAGCTCCGCCACCAGCGTATTGCCCGCAACATGAGCATGAAGATTAATTTCGCAGGAGACCTAGGGGTCAAGCCAAGCATACATACCGGAATACGCTTCTTCCCAACCGGAGCGGATACCGCGCAGGAAGATTCCTCATCTGAGTCCATAACTACTCTCCGAATAGGTATAGATGCCCGTGCTAAGCTATAGATAAGAATGGATCAATTTATGCAGGGTGTGCGCACTGATCGTCGCAGAAGGAGGCGGTTTGGGATGGGGTAAATAGAAACGGGATGGCATGAGATGAAAAGGCGGGGCCCCACGCCGTCGCCGGGGGATTGCCGAGTCGGCTATTGGGAGTGACTACTGGAGGGCGGGTTGGGTTTAATTCGTTGACTGTCTAATTCTTTACCACTGAGGTGGCTTATTGGAACTACAGTAGTATGTTGTTAATGTTGCCAGAATCAGATACCATTCATAGACTGAAAACATGAACACAAGTGAACGCTATAAACATAACCCGCATATTCCATAAAACATTCCACCGTTCCTGACTTCATTGGCGCGGAGAGCCCGCTCTTAGTATACATAGACAAATTCCTCGTTCTCCCAGTCCGTCAGGTCCTTGAACGCATTGTCTTCGCTAAGCATCGGCTGAGGTACTTCGGTCTTGTCGATGGTGACTGCTCCTACAGCTTGCATGGAGTGGTCGATGATCTTTGCGCTCTTTCCCATGCTCACTCGCGTCTTCTCGTGTTTCTTGTTGAGAAGAAAGAGGTATCCCATGTTCAATCTAGGAGTAGATGAGTAGGTGAAGCTAATGTAGGGTGTGGAGGGCTTACACGCAAAGCAGGATGAGAACACAGAACATGGCGAGGCTGTTTGTATGCACGATCAGTACCAAGTTAATTAGTCATTAACTCCTTTGAGTAGCTTACTTGGAGAGGAGACCACGTCTATATAGCGGTGCTTCGGTTGTAGTGTACAGATTCGAACCTAAAACCTGTTTCATGTAAGTATCTGACGCTGCTCTTTGGGTTGACCATGTTTCGACATACGTTACCAGCACATTGTCCAACGAGTAGAACTCCGTTCACGAGCTTCATTTTCGTTTCACCTCCTGTGTTACCCGCAGACCACGAGTAGATCAGGGGTGCTACAGTCTGTTAGCCTGGGAGCCGTTTACGCGGTTTATTGTAACATACTAATTCCAGGGTAGACAGAGATCTAGAAAACATTAGCGAGTACATGCAGACAACATCATAGAAACTTACAATGTAATATCCCGCAAGCAGTGCCCCATTATGATGATTGTCGTGGGGAATCTGCAACAACATCACACATCCTGCAATGGCAGGCAAGCAAAGCAAAGCTATGACAGGACCCTTCATCTGAAGCTTCGTTGCCATCCACGCTCCTCCCATAGTTGCGATGAGTTGGACAGCCCCGAAAGGAATATTGAAGAGAATTGTATCGAATTGGTTGAAGCCGAATGCTTCGATAATTAATGGCCCGAAGGTCGAGATACCGCCGCTGGGGATTCTGTGATACCGTCAGTATGTTCCGCTTGGATGCTCGGAGGAATTTATCTAACGAGATCGAAAACATCAAAGCAAACCAGAAGAATGACTTGATGTCGAGACATGTCTCTTTCACTTGCTGCCATTTCCACTCGTGCGTTTCGATACCTTGCTGGTTCATACGAAGTCTAATCACACTTGTAAGCATTTGGCGCGTTCCTCAGCAGCTGCATCTTAGGTACCTTTCAATTGCCAAAACTTTATCTTCTTCATGAAGGAACTTGGACTTCATCGGTGAGTCCGGCATAAAGATACTAGATATCAAAAGTTAGGAGCGTGCAATTTTAGCTGTTGAAACGGCAGATCTCACAATACAACGGCAGAGAAAACAATCGTGATGAGCCCGAAAAACAAGAAGATGATCTGTAGTACAGTTAACATCTCGCGTTGATGGTGGTGAAGATGACCCACCTGGTAGGACTCGAAGACCGAAGAACCAATGTGGCCGAGACCGTAGGTTATGAGGCTTCCAAACTAGCATCATAGTTTGCATTAGTAGTTATAATTGACGTTTGGGTACGTTGAAGACCTAACTCACCATGTTCACCACACCATTCATAGCATACCATGAACCAAGGCGGACTGGTTGCTCCCGTCGTCGATACCACATTTGCGTGATTGCAATGAACGCCGGCGCTTATAATTCAACCTCAGCCCTAGTACAGAAGAATTTATTGTGACTAAGGGGATACTCACGTATACCAGCTTCAAAGAGGCCCAGGAAAATCCGACACACCAACAACTTCGCAAAAGTATTCGCTGGGGTCATGCATGTCAGGGCAATGCCCCAGAAAAAGGTCGTGCACGCCAGGAACTTCCCCAGAGGTACCTTGACCAGGATATAGGCAACAAACGGCTGGGCAATGAGTTGCACCAGGTAGACGACCGCCCCCAGCCACGAGTACTCCTGCCCATGTAGATGAGCCTTCTCAACCAGACCAAAGACCGACGCGTATGAGAGAGTCGACTTGTCAACTTGCTGCAGAAAATAGATTCCCAGCAGAATAGGCAGAAGTCTAAGATCAATCTTCCGAAGCACTTTGGCGTTGTTCTCGGGTGTCAGGATGGTCGAATGACCCGCGTCTCTCATGAGGTCAAGGGCTGTGTCCTGAGTAGATTCGTTTGCATGCTGCAACTCCCGGCGAGATGCTGTCTCGACAGACTCAATATGCTCATCTTGTGTCTTGCCTGCGGGTGTAATCCCTTGTTGGTGGGACATAGTTTCTCGTCTGTTCTTCTGTGCTCCAGCTGTACTCGAAATAGCCCTAACAAGACGGATGCCCTTCAAGAAGTGAAAAGAAGCGCTTCAACCTTCAACAAGAGTAATCCAAAACGAAGAGAATTTCCTAAAGACAAGATAAAACCAGGCGGAGGCCACAGCAGAACTGGGTAATAGTATATCCCCCTTCACCGTACACATACACTTCAAAGGGAAACCCCGTGGGGAAAGCCCTCATCCTCAGCCCCGGACGGAAGCAGCCCAAACCCGACGCGGGAGCGAATCAACTCGGCCATGGCTCGTCACGACGACCATGACAAGCTTAGCGTCGAGGTAGTCGTTCCATCCCGGCAGCAGACCACGGGATAACATGACGTGGAAGTGGTCGGACATTATCCGATGCGAGGTCCAATGAATTCCAGTCGTGCCATCACCGTGCAGGCGATTTCATGGGAGTGGGGAGATACTCGACGTTGAATAGCGTCTAGCTTCGGATTTCGGGCACGAAAAGCGATGGCCAAAGTACAAAATATCTCCAGCTTTGCTCGGGTGTGGGTCACGGGGACGCGGGGGAACACAAAGTGTGGGGGAAAGTTCACTAACCAAGTAGGACAAAGTAGTGCCTTGTGCCAGGCGTGTCGGAGATTCTCCCCGAAAGCCGACTATACAGCTCCACGTTGGTGGGCCTCAACGGCACTACTCCTCACGCAATGCCGGTGCAACAGAGGCATGTAGAATCACTCAAATAGAGCGGTATTCTGGCTTGGATTCGGTTCCTGTAGTTGTATTCTCAACGTATTCTTGAAGTTGTATTTGCAATCACACAATTGATCTTAACCAAGGGAGTGCACACAACAATGCCTCAAAAGGAGTTCGTCCCCAGGACTTATCAGGAGTCTTCGACTGGGGCTCAAAGCTCCTCCTCTGTACATCTTCGCTCAAGCCCCGAAGAGCGATCCTTTGACTTCTCCTTTGAACCAATTCGTGAGAACCTATTCAGAGTTACCTTCTCTTCTCAACATCACCCTCTCCCTCCATACCCCAGTGTGACCAAGCCGGCAACAAGTCTCGATGGCGTCCATGTCTCCGCAACAGGCGGCTCGAACCAAAAGACAATCGAAGTGGGCGATGTAACAGCGTCCGTTGAGTGGAGTAACACGCCGGTCGTCTCACTATCGTGGAAGGGCACAGAGAAGCCCTTATATCGCGATCTGCCTCTTCGCTCCTATGTCGCAGACTCTACTGGTATTGCACACTACACCGAGCATGACCGGGATTGTCTTCACGTTGGACTTGGCGAGAAGAGAGCTCCCATGGACCTCACGGGACGCCATTTCCAGCTCTCAGCCACTGACAGCTTCGGATACGATGTTTACAACACCGACCCTCTATACAAGCACATTCCTCTGCTGATTAAGGCATCGCCTGATGGTTGCGTGGCCATCTTCTCCACGACACATGGCAGAGGAACCTGGTCCGTCGGCTCGGAGGTCGATGGTCTCTGGGGCCATTTCAAAGTCTACCGTCAAGACTATGGCGGACTGGAGCAATACCTCATCGTCGGCAAGACGCTCAAGGATGTTGTGCGCTCCTATGCAGAGCTTGTCGGTCTTCCAATCCTCGTCCCCAGATGGGCATATGGATACATCTCAGGCGGATACAAGTACACCATGCTTGACGACCCGCCTGCTCACGAGGCATTGATGGAGTTCGCAGACAAGCTGGAAGAGCACGGCATTCCCTGCTCCGCACACCAAATGAGCTCAGGATACTCAATCGCGGAGACCGAGCCTAAGGTCCGCAACGTCTTCACATGGAACAAACACCGATTCCCCAACCCCGAAGAGTGGATTGCCAAGTACCATGGTCGGGGAATCCGCCTCCTCTCCAACATTAAGCCGTTCCTGCTCGCCTCACACCCTGACTTCCAGAAGCTCATCGATGGGAACGGGTTCTTCAAGGATCCTGAGAGCAGCAAGCCCGGCTACATGCGACTGTGGAGTGCTGGAGGCGCAACAGGAGGCGATGGATGCCACATCGACTTTTCATCTGCTGTTGCGTTCAAGTGGTGGTATGATGGCGTGCAGAGCCTGAAGCGCGCCGGAATTGACGCCATGTGGAACGACAACAACGAATACACACTCCCCGATGATGACTGGAAGTTGGCTTTGGACGAGCCAACCGTCTCCGACGCCGTCAAGAAGGGCGTCGAGAACTCCGTCGGACAATGGGGTCGCGCCATGCACACCGAACTCATGGGCAAAGCCTCCCATGACGCTCTTCTCAATATCGAGCCTAACCACAGACCATTCGTCTTGACTCGCAGTGCCACCGCAGGTACCATGCGCTACGCTGCCAGCACCTGGAG